TTTTATCTGTTTCACATTTAAAAAGAACAAAAGGGAACTGGGACTATTTCCTAATCTATATACTTAGTTTGTAGAGAGCTATGTGTATGTTGAGCAATACAGATTGCCACTTGTTTCCTTGATAGCTTGCCACTAACCTTATTTTAGAAAATTGTTATTCTGTGAGGTCTCTTATTACACAGTGTCCCTTTCTTCCTGCTTGGCTTCCTTGTTCTTTTCTGCTCCTGAATTTGTTATGCTAAGTGTAGCATTGCAGGCCCGGTGTCTTGTATAGCACTTTGTTATAGTAAACCAGGTAATCAGTCTCATTTTTTCCATTTTAACTTCAGAGAGCCATTTGGAACCTTCAGGTTTTCTCTCCAAAGTTTCAGGAATTAAAAAGTCTTGAACTTAAGATGTCAGAGTTTAACCAAGGATCCTTTCTATATGCAATACATATGCTCTATGCTTTGTGCAATGCATATGCTCTATGCAAGTGGTTCTCAACCTGAGGTCCCCAGATGTTTTTGGCCTACAACTTCCAGAAATCCTAACAGCTGATAAACTGGCTGAGATTTCTGGGAGTTGTAGGCCAAAAACATCTGGGGACCCCAGGTTGAGAACCACTGCTCTATGCTTTGTGCAGCAGGCTTTACCTGCTTTGTCTCGAATTAATTCTTTTTTACTGTAGGCACCATTTGGATGCCTCTGGTAAAGCCTAAGAGGGCCCACATTTTGGACGTTGTTTGGAAGGGCCTATGAGAAGATTCAAAGCAGAATGAAGGGATGTCACTGAACTGCCTGTTTCCATGCCACCTCTGACTTGGGAGATTTCCTCCACATGGTTTTTTTATACTGAAGACACAGAACAAAAACAAAACACAAATGGGAGGAAATAATGTTTTCTTGCCTTCTTCTTCTCCCATTATCTTTGTTTGAAAGAGAGCTTTTGTACAATATTCTGATTTCTTCATTTAAAAAAGGCAATTCTGTTTCTAATGTGTTCCGTTTTGCGTGTTTATTCAGACCTAAGAGTTCCTATTTATTTATTTGTGTGACTGTAAGGTCTTTAAAACAGAAGAAAGAGCTGAGGTTTTCATAATCCTGAAATATATTTTTTTCAATGTTTTGTTTGTGCAGAATACACATAGTTCTGGACAGAATTAATCCTCAGCATGTTATAAGTTGATCTTTAGATTAATGAGAAGTGGGAATAAATGCTTCTTAGTGGGGCATTAGTGACACTACTCATGAATTGGTTTGACTGCTGCTTAAAGTTAATCATATACTCATTTCCCTTGGAACAAGCAGCATTGAACATAGTAAGATTTAATTCTGAGTAGACAAACACTGAAGAGTGTTCATTGTCATTCTGTGGATATTTATATCTCTTCTATGGTGCCTTCTTCACATGCATGAACAGGTGGAGCAGGAACTGCCTGAAAAAAAATCATTGAATGAAAATTCAATAGAAAATTTCACTTGATTTTATATTTCCGAAAAAAATATTTTCATAAAATTCATTAGGAACAATGTCTTAACAGTATTATGCAAATCTGGCATTTTAAAGGTCAGTACTTTCCGGTGCTTCTTTTCATTTAAATTAAAATAAGCAATGTAAGGGAGCTGCATACTTCAAAATGTAAAAGCAAGCATACTGATTAAAATCATCCCAACATTAAGCTTTAAATTGGTTTGATATGATATTAAAATTACATTATTGGTCTTCAAACAGCCAAGTTAGTCTGATTAAGGGCCCTTCCACACAGCCATACAACCCAGAATATCAAGGCAGATAATCCACAATATTTATTTATTTATTATTTTTGGTATTTGTATGCCACCCTTCTCAACCCCGAAGGGGGACTCAGGGTGGTTCATAGTGTTCACAACAATTCAATGCCATCAATAAAAAACAGTATAAAACATGTATTGTCTAAGTATAAAACATCAAAATTGACCCTCCCCTGCTAAAACATTAAACATTATTAAACACAGCACATAAAATCACATATCACACAAAGACATAGCCATTGTCCGTAAACCGTCCTGGGGCACTGCACTTTCAACTTTCACAATATCAGCTTTGAATTGGGTTATCTGAATCCACACTGCCATATAACGCAATTCACAGCAGATAATATGGGATTTTATACGGTGGTGTGGAGGGGGCGTAAGTTCAGAGAGTCCTTTTAGCATTTTTGAGACTGAAATACTTTCGTTCCAGTACTGATGGTATGTGGGTATATTTAAAAGTTCACTTTTATAAATGCAAGCCATGCATGCTAAGTCAAATCATGTGCTATTCAGGGCATTGAACATTCTTCCCGAAGATAATTCTAAAATCAGTATAACTGAAGATGCTTTTACTTGATCTCAATTAGGAGTAAAATTGTTTGAACATTTAAAAAAAAACACAGGGTAGTATGCTGAAGCCCTTGAGGTGGCATGGAGGAGCAACCCTCTAATATTAACTTTAGCTATAACTAACATTGTTTTGGTATTTAGTGTTGAAATGCAACATGAAATATTATTTTATTGGCAAAGTAGAGTTCAGAAAGCATTGTTTTCCCTGCATAGATTCTCCTTTGTTTTTCCTTGAATGTTGATATCTGGGATGGCCCAGGGAGAAACTGTCAGAGGTTGAGAATTAAACACTCCTGCCACAATACTGCCCTGCCCCATCCCGTTCCAGAGAGCCTCAACTAGCCAGAAGGTCTGATGTGGACATTTTCAGAGCCAAATCCAAAATATCTGTCCTCAGAACAAAACATGGTGGGCAAAAATGCCCAGAGAGATCATTTGCATTGGAGGCACAGATGGTATTCTAGTGCTTTCCTTGGAGTATATGATGTAGCTTTAGGGTCTTTTAGGGTCTGTTGCTTTCTACTGACTTTCCCAAATCAGTGATCTTCCAGTGAGTCAGTGAGTGATGAGGGAGACAGTGATAGAACTCAAGAGAATTGTCCTCATGGCCATCCTTCACCTTTTTGGGGTATTTATTTGGTATGTTTTTGATAATAGAACTTGTTACACAGTGTGTATTTTTTTACTGATGACCAGATAGTGAACTCAGTTTATCTGGTGTGTTATTTGTTGTGTATTAAAGGTGCAGTTTTGGTTTCAAATGACATGGTTCTAGTTGTCTGATTTTTGTATTTGTTAAAGACTCCCAGTTGGGAAACTGACAGACCATCATGATTGCTCTGTTTCACTAAATAAACAATCACTTCATCAGAAACTGTCCTTGATGTTATAGGCACTTGGCATGTCTGCCCAGGAGTTCACTGGTCTGACATAAGCTTTCATGCTATCTAGGCGTGACTGATAAATAGCTTTTCAAGAAAGCATTTTCCTGCTTCAATTGAATGTTACTGGATTATCCTATATACTCTTGTATAAGTCTAGAAAAGTTGTATAAAAAAATCAACCCAAAAACAAGAGTTGATTTATCCACAGGTCACTGTAAGTGCTTTACCTTAGCTCTTATAAAGAAAGGAACCATCCATTCTCTGTGTGGTGAAGGGTGAGAGATAATTCTATCCCTGTATTATACACAATTATTCATGGCCGAGTATGATTGATTTCCAAGGGTTGAGTCTTGGTGGTGGGTCCACAAGTGACTGTAAACACCTATTCTGGAACCATATGGTTTTTCACAGTGAGGACATAAGTTTTCAGTTGAAAGGTGGTTATGGTAAGGGTGTGCTTGATGCACCTTTCTCTTGGTACTAACCCGTTCGCTCACTTATTTGCACCTCCTCAAAATCCATTGGATCACGGGTAACAGCTAACTTCCAGTTAGTATGCTTGAGTGCAATGCTTCCCAGTTCTCAGTGTTCATGCCACATTTTTTGTGATTAGCTTTAAGACCATCTTTTAATCTCTTTCGCTGTACACGGACGCTATGTTTTCTATTCTTGAGCTGAGGGTAAAGTAACTGCTTTGGGTGATTGGCCATTTGTACTGCATGGAGAACTTAAAAGAAGCACTGACTTGCCTATACTCTCTCAATTATAGCACTGCTTCTGGGGAAATTGTAGCACTGCTTCTGGGGAAAGTGGTGGCAATGGCTGATCCTCCTGTTGCTGCATCGATGCTTCTCCCTCTCCCACAGAAAGACCCTCAACTTATCCATGCATCATGTCAAAACACATAATTTATGCCCCCAAACGTGCTCTTGACTTGTATGGCAGTGTAGACTCATAAAATCCAATTCAAAGCAGATAATGTGGATTGCCTGCTTTGATAATTTGGATTATATAGCAGTATAAGGGGCCTTAGAGTTGTCTTTTGACAAGGACAGTTCAATTCCAAACAAGTTTGAAAAGGCTTTAGTGTTATATGAAATTCTGTGCTAGCTAGGTTGGTAGTTTTCCTGCTGAAAAATATGAGCTGGATTTTCTTTTAGCAGGAGAGGCTTTATGCTTTTTACAAATGCCACTCTGAGGGTCAGTGACCCATTCTCTTAAAACTATTGCAGATGAGGGAAGCAGAAAAGTTTATTTTCAGTAATTCCTGAGATAGATGAACACAACACATTCTGGTTAAACTTTATGAAATGAAGTATTTTTCATTGTATGTGCTTAAGTAATCAAATTAGAAACTAGATCGGTTTGGTCCTGGTATTTATCTGCATGCAGAACTTGTATAGAAAAGAGGAATTATAACACATGCACAGCTATCATTGTTATCGTCATCATCAGCAGTTATACAGTGCCTTTTCCTCAAAATTGGGATTCAAAGTAGATTATTATTCAAAAGAAGTAAAATATAGTTAAAAACATACAAGGGTCAACATTTAAAATACACATAAAATATTCATAATATTACAGCAATCTAAGGCATATACTTAGGCAGGTTTGCAGTTGGTTCTGGAGAGCTAGTTTCACCTGTATTTTTCCCTTCAATTTTGTTGTGTGAAGTAGACTATTAAGAATATGCTCCATTAGTGAAATGATGAAAGAAAGTGATGGGGATCTCCTGACTGTCATGATTTATGGCTTGGTTTTGTTTTCCAGCACTGGAGGTGATCCACCATGGCGGGAGATGCCATCATGGTGATGCGAGGCCTGGCAAAACTCAGTAAGGCAGTCCTAGAGGCACAAGCAGGACAACTCCGGCAAGTAGTTCTTGGGGGTGATGCTGTAACTGTAGTCAGGAGCTTCCAGGCTGCTGCTGAAGAACAGTTCAGTACAGCCATGGGGAAAATGCAGGTAAGAACATGTACTGTGGTAGTGTTACCCAAGTACACATATTCTACTCAGATGTTCAAAGATTCTGTTTAAAGATGCATTCTGAATTATGTGAAAATGAGGTAATATGAATAAGCAGATATCTGTGTCTTAGATCTTTTGTTTTATTTATCTGCAAAATTTAAATGTCACCTCTATCAAGATAAATACTATCTAAGTAGCTAAAACCATATTCTCTCATTTGTCTGTTAGGCCCATTCTGGTACAGTAGCAACATTTCTTCTAGACCAGGAGTTTGTGTAGACCTTGATGTGACTTGCCATAACATTATCTGTGTTTAGAGCTCTTCATTAAAGTTTCCTTTGCAAAGCAAAAGATTAACATATTTTATGCCAAGGTAAAAAGAAAAAGTTGATGTAGGAAAACCTACTTCACATTAACTAGCATCAGATTACATATGTCAAGTCCTGGGTACTCTCATAACAGATTTTTCAAAGCTCTAATTAATCTCTTTCTTATTTGATTAAAGCAAAGTGAGTTCTAGCCCTTCCTATTATGGAGTCAGGTCCTTTATAGCTTTGAACAGCTGGGAGGAGCAGGGAATGATTTTACTGTACTGCCAAAGAAGTAAACAATGGAAACATTTCTCTTCCAACATTGATCAAAATTAATATAGAAGTGTTTACAAGTTCCAGAAATTGGCAGGAGAAACAGCAGACACAGGATAATCTGCTGGAAGATTTTTCCTCTCGGTTGCCTCCAGTAGGAAACACACTAGAGATTATTGGAAAGATATATTGTGGAAAATGCAGCCACTCTTTTCTCTAAGAAATTGGTTAAGTTAAACAGGGCACAGTGAGACCAGATGTTCAAGGCCTTTTCACACATTGCATAACAGCAGGTCTGTTTTGGCATTGAGGGTCAGATTAAACATGACATTCATCATTCATAGCTGTCAATATGCCCTTAATGATGCAACATATAGCTGCAGAGTGCAGGAGCAGCTTGTGTAGGAGGAGGGGGATAGGCCACTCCCATATGGTTTTAATTCTATGGGAGTAGGGAGAGTCATAGCAGAAATTTCATTTTTTAAAAAATGCACGTTCCATACAGTTAGATCTAGTTTGGCCCTAGGTGTGTAACAGAATGTTTCAAAATGATGGTCCCAATTTCAAAGCAGTATATTTCACAATGGCAACATGTTATAGATATACAAGAAAATTACAAATGGTTTATCAAGTTTTACTAACCATTTTGAGCTAAAAACAAAATTAAAAACTCAGTTAATAAATAATATTTCATTAGGTCTTATGTTGCAGGGTCAACACCTTGCAAATGACTGAGGTTAGAGGCTGTTTGTGCACCGGGAGGGCATCTAGTGGTAACCCCCCCCCCCAAAAAAACACTTTGATTTCCCCTAGGGGTGAGAAAAGCGGTATATAAATACCGTAAATAGATAAATAAATAATTTGAAGCTCCTTTCAACAGGTAAGAGTTTTATTAATGGGCAATTTGTGGTTGCAGAGATACAGGGATTTCAAATCTGAAATACACTGTGTACTTCGTGGACTGATACATTTCTGACTCCCTAAAATAAACGTATGTGATATATGTGTTTTCATGTAGAATAATTTAGAGGTACATATTGACAAAAATAAATACTAGTGCAGGATTGTGTTTGGGTTCATAGTGAGTGAGAGTGAAAGAACTGTGATATACCAGGACATGGTTTTCAAAGTATAATTTAAAGACAGTCACCACCCTACATTTGAAAAATGGGGCAAAATTTAACCCCAGTCATTGTAAAACAGAATGATGATGATGACCAAGACAAAACAGAAAAGAATGAAATGGTAGATTACCGTAGCATGTACAAGGATCTTGTAGTGACTTAGAAACTAACTGAAAGAATGAACCTGGTGGCATAAACTTTTGTAAACTAAGTCTACTTCAGATGCAGATTAAGTCTGAGGAAACAGATCTACAAAAGTTTATGCTACCAACTTTATTCTATCAGAGTGCATGCACAAAGTAGAATTAATGCAGTTTGACTTGATTTTAACTGCTGTGACTCAATGCTATGGGATTATTGGATGGAGTTTTACAAAGTCTTTAGCCTTTTCTGCCTAAGAGCTCTGGTGCCTCACCAGATTATAAATCCCAGGATTCCATAGAATTGAGTAATGGCAGGTAAATTGGTGTCAAACCGCATTCTACAGTATAGATGCAACTACAGTCTCTAAGGTGCCGCAAGATCCCTTTGTCAGGCCTGTAGCCGGGAGGGGGGGGGGGGGGGGGGGTTAGGGGTTCAACCCCCCCCCCCCGAAATTTTTCAGGTTAAAAAAAACCTGGTTTACTCATGAATTTTAACTGGTTAACCAAATCCCCATGCTAAGTCTATGAGACACAAAAAATTAAGAGTCCCTCCAGAACTGCAAGCACTATCTCAAGCAAATATTGACAATTTATTCACACTGTCATTACTTGCAGCAATAGCCGATGTAGTGAAGCAACCAAGTTGGGTGGTGGTGGTGGTGTAGAATGCTCTCATTAAGGAAGCCAGACTTGGTAGAGGTGGTTGACAAGGGCGAAGCTGCAGGCTATTGAAGGCTGCTCTGCCCCCTGCTGTGCTCTTTGCTTCAGCGTGAGCTAGGAGGCAGGTTTCAACCTCCCCCCCCCCCCCCCCCCCCCCCCGAAATGTTCAACCTCACCCAAAAAATTTTTCTGGCTACAGCCCTGCCCTTTGTATATTGATATTGCCAATTTAACATGGCTAGCAAGATGTTGTTTTGCAAGCTAGATTTAGTCTCCTCCCCTCCCCTTATAAACATTTATTTATTTACAGCATTTATATACCGCTTTTCTCACCCCATTACACATACATAATGGCAAAATTCAATGCCTTACTTAGGAACTGAATAGAAGCACTGAATAGCCAACTTACTTGTTCACTTCTTGGTTAGAATCTGTCCTTTTGTGTTTTCAGAAAGTATGAGAGCAGTTTACCTTTTCCATAATTTGGGAAAAAACATTTCTGTATTTTATTTATAGGAATTGGGGAAACAACAGGAAAACTTTAAAGATCTTGATGAGGACTTTGGAAAAGAGTACAACTTCTCAGAATCAGAGTGGAGTGATGCTTCAAAAGACTTTTCCCCTCCACCAAATCAGCCTCCTGTGGATGGTGGTGCAAAAGGCCCGTCTTATTCTTATGTTGCCAAAGAACCTTTTTCAAATATTGATGGGAGTGGAGATTCTAGTTCGAATCCCATTTCTGCTAAAGTGAATGCAAAGCTCTTTGGAGGCTTTAGGGACTGTGGGAATCTGTATGGTCCTATTTATCGGCAAAGCCGGGCTTTTCATCAAGACCATTCCTCTGTTGGTGGACTCACAGCTGAAGACATTGACAAGGCTCGGCAAGCTAAAACGGATCCACAGCACAAACCATACAAACAGATGGTACGTAAGCTATTGAACAAAATCAGGGTGCTGGGAATTTTTTCCTGAATAACATGTCCTCTAGGCATTTTATCTTTCATTGTTGAAATTGCTGGCTGGAGTTGGTCTTCTATAAGAGTTAAAGGGTGGTGTCTTCCCAACCCTGTTTTATAGGGTCTGCCTCTCATTTATTCCAGCTTTCCAATCCAGTACTTGTACAGTGTGGTTTGTTTCTATCTGTATAGTAGTGTGGGCCAATACAGCATTTCTCTTTGTTTTCAATTATCCTGATCTTTGCAGCACGCTCACAGCTCAGCTTGTGGCAACTAAAATGTGCTGAGAAAGGCAAGTGTCATTTATTTTGAGCCATTCCAGGATTACTGAAACAAACCAGGTCATGCAGCTCATGTTGGCTGAGGTCTGTTGGGGTATTATTGATATAGTGTGTTCAAATTTTGAATAATTTAAACCGACTAATTCCAACAACCTGGTTAGTTCTGCTATGGATATTTTTTCATTTTATGGATGGTGGACTTAACAACAGTGACATTGATTTTGCTTAGCTATTACTTGCCTTGGCCAAGTCTCATATATTGGCTTCTTGTATGTTCTTCTATCTCATTTTGAATCCATCTACATCTTACCTGTTTGGATGTGTTTTCTTCCTGACTCCACCTAGTCTGTCTCCAGGTGTAAAGTACTTTTTGATTAGATGGTTAGAGTGACTCTACATTCAAATAAGTATGATAGAAGTAGGTTAATTTGATAATATCATTTCCTAGAGTGACATCCATATCATACTGAGATTTCCCAAAGAGGTGCTTCACATGTGGGCTGCCTTCCCTTAGAATAAATGTTTGCCTCATTCATTTTCATCTTACATTGGGCAACAAAGACATGGTGCCTGCAACCAACTTTCAGGTTTAATTCTGGCTTGTGTGAGTTGGTGTGGGAATGGAGATTATTGAAATACTGGTTTATCTGTTTTTGGTATTAAATTTTGAATTGTTAGCTTTTGTTTTGCAATTTTTTGTTATTGTTTTCCTGTCTTGACCACTTTGGAAGTGGTCAAGGTGTTTACTGAAATGGATAAGAGAAGATTGTTGAAACAAATATGGCAGTGTGTTACTTTGATTGCAGTAATGTCTGTTTGAAGGGGTCAGAATGTATCCCTTGCACTTTAAAATATTTAACAGGTGTTCACCTTCTTCTTGCTGGACATATGATACCTTGCTAAATTCTTGGAATGGTTAAGAAGCTATACTAGTTGTTCCCCTGGTGTCTCTGCTGAAGTTCAGAACAGGTGCAGTGCAGGTTTGTCTACCCAGCCCTACCCCTCTCAGGCCAGACTCTGCTTTCTGTCTCTTCAAGACAGAATTTGTCCACTGGAAACTGAGTAGTGTTTTAAATGTAAAATAAGCAAATCATTGTGTCTCAGTATAATAATAAATGAATTCTGCTGCATTATCTTGAGTCGGTGACACATTTTTCTAAACAAAAGAGAGGTAACTAGTCTCATTTAGCATAAGACAACTTCCTGTATTTGTTTTATATTGGTTGGCCCTATGAATGAAACTCTGTTCATTAGATATTCTACTGGTGGAAAGGTGGGAGTGAGGTGATTTTTGCAGAATTCTCACCTCTCTGTGTAGCCTCAGATATCTCTTGAAAATGTTTTCTAAATGGCTGGGTTGGGGATGGAGTAAGCTCTACAGAATGTTGTGGAAGATTAAGATAGGGACTGAGCAGAGGAAGAGGCATTTCTGTATTCCCTCTGTATTACTAAATTTCTCTGGATTTCAGATAGAGGACTGTGGGGAGAAAGTTTGTTTCAAATGTGTTAAATACATCAGGCCAGTTCAGCTCTCCTCTTTTCAAGGAGGACTCTGGTCAGCTCTCAAAGCCAGATAGAACAAAGTAACTGGAATGGCATATCCATGTGTAGTGTCTTGTATACTTAAAGAATATATTTCCAGAAAACTCAAAATAATTTATTCAAATATATAACTTTTCTTAACTTGTATCCTGCTGTATGATTTTTCTGCAACTTTGCCTTCTTACACTTTCTTTCACAGCATTTATAGTTTCATTACCTGTTGCTGTGATCGTTTTCTTAACTATAAGGTAAAAAGATAAAGGTTACCCCCTTACATTAAGACCAGTTGTGTCCGACTCTGGGGTGTGGTGCTCATCTCCATTTCTAAGCCGAAGAGCTGGCGTTGTCTGTAGACATCTCCAAGGTCATGTGGCCAGCATGACTGCATGGAGCGCCATTATCTTCCCACCAGAGTGGTACCTATTGATCTACTCACATTTGCATGTTTTCGAACTGCTAGGTTGGCAGAAGCTGGGGCTGACAGCAGAAGCTCACGCTGTTCCCCGGATTCGAACCTGCAACCTTTCGGTCAACAAGCGTAGCAGCTCAGTGGTTTAACCCACTGCGCCACCGGGGGCTCCTCTTTCTTAACTATAGAGGCTAGATAATAGAGAAATTCAACTTTGAATGCTGCCAGTAGAATGGCAACACAACTGGTCTTAATTTAGCCATACAGATACTGTAGCTGGGGAGAAGTCTCTTTGAGATTCTGGGATCTCTCCTTTTAATTGGAAATATGAGGTAAATCATCTGGAACCCAGTGCAAAGGATGCAAACTTAGTATTAAAGAATATCCATCTCAGGCCTGTGTTTTGAGAATCAGACAGAATTGAGACATCAGTTCTTCCTTGCATTTTATAGATAAAAATAGTCTTGTCATTGTCTTTAAAAAATAGTACGGTAATTTTTGCTTATATGAAATCACCCGGAGATCTACTGGTGAGTTCTGCCCACACATGTATATTACTGCATGAAAGAGCTTGCTGTTATCTCTTCTTACGCTTTAAGATGGCACACCTCTGTTTATTCACTGTTTTCCACAAATGTGTTATATTAAGTTTAAATTTTGTTTTCTTTCTTGTTTTGACCCTAACTTATCTTTTTTGCTTTCTTCGTTTTTTATTGTCTTGTTTCTTCATATCCATTGCATACTCACTCTTCTCTAAGACTTTTAAATGTGGAACTCACTCCTTTTATATTTTTAGCATACTTCCTCTTCTGTGCTATTTCATAATTATTTCTTAATTCATCTCCTCTGTTGTTTATCTCTTGATGGTGTTTGGACTTGATTTTGGTGATTAGTTTTGAATTATTTGTTCATTGTTTATGTTTTACTTAAAACATTGTCCTGCAAGTGTATGGTTTTTCTTCATCCATCAAGTCTCCTTTTCGTTTGTATCAATTTCCCTAAAGATTAACAGATCTTTTGTGTTATCACTTTCTGGCAGTTTTGACATTCTAGATTTTTTAAAAATGTCTTTACATAATTGATTCCCATGTGTATGTTGATATATTTCTGTGACCTTGAATCCAAATATGACACGAAGATACCGTATTTTAAAAAAACCTACCGAATGCAAGAATTTTTTGTGGAGTAATGACATGCTGATAGATTGTTGTTGTTATTATTATTATTATTAACTTTATTTGTACCCCGCTAGCATCTCCTGAAGGACTCGATACGGCTTACAAAGGCCAAGGCCATTATTCATTATGCTAGACAGAACTGAATAATTTATTCAGTAAAAGTTCCAGAGCTTTCAATCTTTATTTTATCATTGAAATTTAAGAAATCAAATACTTCTCAGTAAATACTTCTTAGCCTTTGGACATCCACATATTTTTGACTTCAACTCATTGAAGCTACAGCCAGTGACAAAGGAACTAGGAATTAAAGCCCCAAACATGTAGAATAGCAGTTTACAGCCTTTGATCTTTCAGCTTGACCAACTATCAGGAATTGTTGAAGCTGAAGTCCAAAACACATGAAGGACCATATATTTGTGAGAACAATTGGTCTAAAGAGCTGTAGGTTGAGAATCACAGGATCTATTCTATATGCCCATCACTAAGACCAAGAAAATAAAACAAGAAAATAGGAAGAGTTCTGATTTGCCAAGTAACAAGTGGGGACATAATACAAAAGGGAGATGGTGTTTTGGATGCTTCTATGCAACAGACTTGGCTCTACAATAAGTAGAATGAATGTATTTTAAACTTGAAAGAGGGGAATAAAATTGAGGTTGATATATTTACCTTTCTCAAGGGAGTGTTTACAGTTGGCTTGCCTTTCTGTTTATTTAGTTCTTCACAAATGCACAGACTAACCTGGCTTCTCAGATGGTCTGTTCCTATGCTGAATGCACAGCAGGACTCTCTGTCTTTGTCATGAAAAGCCTTTGCAGCACAGTAATCTTCATGGAGACCAAGGCTGATGTAAACAAAGATATGAAGGATTGACGATAGACTAACGCTAACCTCTGAACCTCTTTAAAGAGTTGGATGCAATTCAAGAATAGAATTTGTAATGTAAAGCACTGAGGTTATGTATCTTCTTGGACCTTGACTAACCTATAAAAATACATATGGAGGCAAGAGACCTGAGAGAGAAAGGCAGGGATGGGGAAGCTAGCTAGATATGGAATATACTTGGCATGAGGCCCTGTGAAATATTACCAATGTGTCCTTGATTCTTTGCTTAGCCAGTTGAAGGGCAAATAACAGAATGTAAAGGTGGCAATTTTAACAGTTACGCTGCTTACTTTCCACTCTGAGACATCAATGAAATAGGCCAGACATTGATGAAATGGACATTGTTAAATGTAAAAATGAGTGTTTTGCATGAATGAATCTCTAGCTAGGTGTCATGATTCATTCTAAGGATACAAGGCAGCTAAATGCTGTGGACCAAGCAAGTATCTCTGAGCAAGATGTGCAAGATGAACCCAGGAGAATATTGAAGTGTTGCAATATGGAGGAGTTGAACTTTAGGGCAGTTGAAATGTTCAGTTGAAAAGCCCAAAGTGAGGTGGGGAGAGGAAAGGAGCGATTTCTCAATATGAGAGTTAAACAGGGGAACAAATGAATTGCATTGGGGTATGGATTGCAGTCTTCCAGATGGTTTCCGTTTTGTTTGAATTTTGGTTGTGTTACAAAGGTTGCATTTCCAAGTGATAAGCAAATATGGATTCATAGAGCATTGTGTGGTGCTTCAACCAAGTGGTTTCCAGTGAAGATGCTTTTTGATTCTATCATATTTCCTAAGAGGGCTTTAGATTCACCAGTTGAAAGAGATCCCTGTGGATTGCTTGAATAGAATAATAACCTTAAGTGTGAAGAAGGTAGTTTTATTTATTAGGAATTACTTGTATGAGGGCAATACTCATTAATTTTGAAGGCATAAAGGCCACAGAGCTTAAATACTTTGCTGAAAATTGCTGTTAGAACTCATTTGTTCTTGGCTACCTTTAGCCTCTTGCTCACACTACCTTCTTGAGAGAGGAATTGTTATGATTCCCAAAAACATCCATATACAGTATCCTTAATGGTTGAGCTATCTTTTAACACCATATATTTGTGAAAAAGTTCATATTTTCGAAAAATGTAATGGTTCTGTTTAAACTTTGTGGAAAAAAAGTGTTCCTTGCACGAGGAAACTACAAAATGGTGATGTCATTTTATTTAGTATGCTGATTGTGGAAAATCCGTTTTAAAATATGTTATGTTTAGTTTGGGTTCTTTGCATATTTTGTTAGCAAAATATTTGTCCATATTAATGAAAGATTTTCTTCCCTGCAGCTCAGTGAACGTGCCCGAGAGCGGAAAGTGCCAGTTACTCGAATTGGGAGACTTGCTAACTTTGGAGGTGAGTCTCTTTAAATTGTGTGGCCAAATAACAGCTGATGTTAAGGCATTTTAGACGTATACCTGTCTTCTTGGCAGCTGCACCAAATACTTTAGTTGATGTGTAAAGAACTGCAGGGCTTAACTTCTGATTAAAACAAAATGCTAGAATTTATTCTGCTAGGTCATTTTCCACCTTTGGATCCAGGTTTTGAATACAACATTTGAGTAAATCCCCTATGTTTTGGTGATGGAGAGAGAGTTTCACTACAGGTATCAGTTGTTGATCTCGTTGGGATCATTTGGGGCTAAAATAGATCTAATACGTTTGGTTGACTTACACATTTTGATCTCTCCCTACATTTATGATCTGAGCCATACAATTCAGTTGCAACCATCATATAGGCTGGTTATGCCATAGGATTCTTGCATGCATCTAAACATGCACAGTCCTGATTAATGAATTGTCTGAATGTTGGTATAAGGAGAAGAGGGTTAGAGTAGGACATCCAGGACTCAAACCAAACAGGATGAGGAGAGAACAAAAGAGCGAAATGACAGGGAAAAGTGGGGCAAGAAGAGAAAGCGGATAAGCTGGAAACTTCTATATATATCCCATCTCTCAATTATTAGCATAACAGTTTTGAAGGCTGCAATTAAGGGGATATTGCCTTCTTTGTTGACATACTTTCTCTACAATGCCAGACAAACTGATATTTCAGTTTATAGGCATGGGAACTAGCAAAACCATGTTTGATGGTTTTGCCAGTTTCCATAAAATTCATCAGGTTGTCTTGGTGTGGGAGGCTACAGGAAGGCACCATTTGCTGTTTGCTTGTTTTAAGGAAACTTATCAGAGATAGGGCAGGCCATGGTTTAAAACTATCTCAGAATGTTAGACACATTTTTGAATTCAAAATGTAATATTTCTGTTCTACGTTGTGTCTCACAAGCAGAACAGTCAAGTTGGCTACCAATAATTTTTTAAAAAACATTAGCAAACGTTTAAAGTTTCACAATAAATGGCACCAGAATTTTTCTATGTGATGGGTGGTAGGGGTTTTACTTGTCCCACTGAAGGTTCTAGAACTTTATCCCTCAACTGTGTTAGACTAGAGCTGATATAGCTCCCTAACTGCCTCCCTGTTGGTTTCATTCATATTTATCTATGTGTGTGTTTGTGTATGTGAACATGAGTTCATGCACCACAAGTACACTTATATATTTGATGTGAACCCATAGAGCATTGGAATGTATGGATGATCTCCCTTTTTGCTCCTCCCCACCTGAGATTACCGTCTTAATTACCCAAGTTTCCTTCTGTTGCTTTCCTTTTATCCATATGGACCACATTAAATAGGCATGCCTCAAAATGGTTGTGCAGACAATATTGTTATTTTAGGAACACATTATCTGTACATTATAGTAACTTCAGAGAAATACTTGGCTTTGCTGAGCCTTAGCACATTCAACATTTTCTAGCTTACGGCATTAGCCCAAAGAAGAAGAGATATACTTTTGGCCCTCCTGATATTTTGAACTTCAAATTCTGAAAGCCCCATTCAGCAGAGTCAATAGTAAGGGACTGTTAGAATTGTAGTTGAAAACATTTGAAGAATCAAAGAATCTCCACTGTTGTTTCATAGGAGGGTTACTTGGCTTAGCTATGAGCAAGGTCTTCTGTACATTTAAGAGTTTCAAGAGGGGAGAAAGTTATGTTGGGTGTGGGTTTCTTCCCCCTCCATTACTAAAGCAGCATGGTGAAAGGATCTGAACAACTGTGAAGATCTCTTTTTACATTGTTCTTTGAGCTCTGTGTCTTTCTTGTATTGATTAGCCTCTTGGTCTGCCAGGACAATGGAATGTCACCGCCTCATTGCTCTTTTTGGTTCAATATGTGGAGAGCAGCATGTGGCTTAGAAGTGCTGCTTCTGCTGTGTTGTGACCTTCCCTATTTATAGTTTGAATTGGCTCTTGCCATTAGTGTTCATTTCTCTAATATGAGATCTGCATGTATATGCCTTCTGGACATTTCTGTTGGTATACCAAAATGGGTAGGAAGATATCTTCTAGTAGGCAAGTTATTACAGGAAGTTAGTGTGTACACTATCTCTTGAAGCAGATATGAAGATAAAGAACAAAGTAAATATTTTCCCCATAAATATCAACATCTCTCTCTCTCTCTCTCTCTCTCTCTCTCTCTCTCTATATATATATATATATATATATGAAATTCTTTTATCAATACTATTTAGGAATTGTTGAATAATTCTTCTTCCTTGAATACAGAAAACAGCAATATGTGAGAAGATACAGATATCCTCATCATTTAGATTCTAAACATGGTTGATTGTTTGAAGTTAAAAAGGAACCAGGAGTGAACATTTGTGTTAAAAGCCTTTAGAGCTTGGTCATGCACTGATTTCAAATTCCTTGTCTTCCTAGTCAGTCCTTAATCCTTAGTATGACTGCATCTACCACTGTTGTGTACTTGCTTCCTGGATGAGGGTTTCTAATAAAAGACAAAGTAGAACCCATAAGCCTGAAGTATTATACCCCTGTAGGTTAGAGTCCATTTTATCATGTGCTTCAGTGGTGGAAAACCTGTGCAAATTCTTGCTAAACTTTCTAGAGGAATATAAATGTTTGCCCTAGACCTTGGATCAGGAATGGCGATGATGTGGCTTTCCAAGTGTTTTTAGATTGCAGCTGCCCTCAGTCTCCCTGGCTGGTATGTATGATGAAAGATGTTTCCCATCCCACTTAAGATATTATAGAGTGGGCTCACAGTCATGTTGCCTGTGAATCCTGTGGAACTCTGGAGTATTTTGAGTGTTGTCAAAATAAATTTTTAAGAAATTGAAGGAAGAATGAAGAAAAACATTTAAAGTAAAATTCCAGTCAGCCAGAAGATTGCTTAAATTTCTGGATTCACATGCATACAATTCAGAAAATCATAAGTGTGCAGATAAGTCTAGCATATTTGTAAGTCATGCACAAGACTGGTGATAGGAACATAAATGTAATTCCACTCTTTTGTGTGTTTTGATTTGCAGTACTTCCTTTATTGAAATTATCAGTTGTAATACCAAAGCAAGAACTGTATTTTCCTAATGGCCTTTCATTGTGTTTGTCTAGTTTAGGAAGGTATGGATTCTAATCTGCAGAGGGTTTTATGGGTGGCAAAGGCTTCTGCTGAAAGTTGAATATTGGGCAGTGTTGGAAAGAAATGTCTATAGTTAGGGAAAAAGGAAATCCCTGGTGTCACATTATAAACTGCATGCCAGCGTGCCTTCATAGTCCTTTAGCAACACCTTTCCCATCATAATTCCCTTCTCCCTTAAATTAGAAATATGTTTTGTTTGAATCAAGAGAAGGCCTGCTATAGTCTGTCCCATATTTCTGTCTTCCACTGGATTGCAGCTCTCATCAATACTGACTGAGGGTGATGGGAATGGTGAGCCAGGACTTTGAGAGCATTCTAAAATGCGACAGAGAAGTTTGGACTAGTCTTAAATGAGATATCACTGTACATGCTACTTACTTTGAAGGCAGGTTGGAGCTGTTCTAAAATGATACAGGAATGTGCAGGAGATCAAAGTATGATGTTGAACAGATCAGGCTGACGTAGTGGCCTGAACAACACTGAGTCTTAGCTAAGGCTTTAGTGCATATGCTATAATCTAATTCAGTCTTGGCATAGAGACATACTGTATGCTCACTGTACTCTCAAGGTTTAAATCTGCTTGTATTTGAACTAATTTCCCCTTTACTCTCCTTAGCAGCAGAGGCTAAGAGAAACAAAACACTTAAAATAGTTGTTTTTCAACATTAGAAATGTCTTATTTAACTGTAGATCATGGAGCAATATGAATTTCTGACTAAACATTATCATTGATTAGTTGAACTGGTGCAGTTGTTCACATTTACCATGTGAAAATGAATGACTGATGTTATGGAAGAGAATGTCCCTTTAAGGGGAATAAACAGACCAATAAGTAGATAGAAAATTATGACTTGGAAGTGTGTGGTCTCTATCCCCTGCTTGGGTGAAGAATCAGACAAGCAAGAAACAAAACAAAAACCCGACAGGTTTCAACACACCTTGGGGGGCAATGTTCTGTTGCTATTTAAAGAACAGTACCTTCAACATGTTTTACAACAGAATCCCTTTGCAAATGCTAAGGGCAAAACGTTTCTTGAAGGAGAATGTCCTTATCAAAATAAATTGATATGTAAACAGTTCTGAAACATTAAAGTAAACAACTCCCTCCCGAGTTAATCTTTAAAAACTTTACAATTGTAAATTGTTTGCAGCCTGTAACTCTCTTAACAGTTGGCCCAGCTGTTTTGGTCTCGGAGGGACCAATCTGTATGCGATTGTTAAGGTGGAGTTGTGCAGTGCAAGGAGAGTACATACTGTGCAGACCCTAATCTTATCGGAAATGGGTTGCTGGGAAGGAGAGGCTGGTATTGTAAAAGATTGATAAGTAGGAAAGGAGATTGTTAATTTGGGTATATTCTTAACTCATTTACTGCCCTAATTGTAATAACTATATATGTGTTGCTCTTCCACTGGGAAGTGGACAGACAAACCTAGTAAAAACCTATGATGCGATCAATAAAAATGCAGACACATGGAAAATGTGACCATATACAAACACTACGTAAAACTGAGATGTGCCAGCCTAGTGCTAATGGAAGTAATGGAAGTGCTTATGCAACTAGGTGTAATATGCTAAAAGCCTGTTGAAGCCAAAGTGTTTCAGTTTCTAGTGAAAGATGCACAATGAAGGAGCCTGGCAATTTTTAAGAGGGAGGATAAGTAGCATTGGCACAAAGTGTTGTACTGCTGCCACAAAGAGTGCTCTGTCTATCTGCTCACTCACCAAATACCCCAAAATGAACCACAGAGCAATTCCTGAACAGTTCTGAATGTCAGCAAGTGGTCTCTAAGGTAACCTGGGCACTGGCCATTTAGAATGGCAAAGGCTAAGACTAAAGAGAGAGGAGAAACAAATAGGAAGCTCAAGGAAGCAACCTGAAGCAACCTGAAACATTCCTTTTTAAAGATCCAAAAACATAAAATGTTTCCCAGTTAAGATAAGGATGCAGATTCAGTTACACTTAATGCTATAGAATTGCAATCTTATGAAATTCATTCTCAGACAAGCCACTGACATGATTGGATATCTGGCTGTCACTACTGATGTAAAGGACTGCTTAAAACAGCTTTTTGGTGTTGTTAGAAAGGACGATGGGAGTTGTAGAGAACACATCTTTCATGTGTTAGTATTGGGAAACTTGCAGAGGATCATCATGTTGATCTGTTGCAGCAGAGCTCCAAAATCAATGCGACATCTTTATGACTGATAGATTTGTTGCATAAAGTTTCACTGACTACAACCACTTCAGATATATGGTACATCTTCTAGATTTGGGTCTATTCAGAGTGAAGTTGGATGGTCTGTCATAGATTTTTTATAAATATATCTCCAGCAGTCCAGGGATAAAGTGAGAGGAAGTGAGTAAAAGAGGGAACAGAGTTTGTGTGTGTGTCTTTGTAAGGGGGGGCTGGGTAGGAGAGGCTGGGCTTTACATGGTAATTGATTTTGGGGTTCATGGGATGGTGCTGCAGATGGGATCACTGAATCCATGTGAACGAGGTTCATTTATACTCGTACAAGGGACGGGAGCATCTGTGTTTTTAGGTGTCCGTGAGGGGTCCTAAAAACTAATCCTGCGCAGGAGGGTGGGGCTGTATTATATTCTGTCCTACTGTTTCCTGTCTCTTTTCTTTCTTATTGATCATTTTACTCTTCTGTTCATAATAGGCTTGGCAGTTGGTCTTGGCATTGGAGCACTTGCAGAGGTTGCAAAGAAAAGCCTTAGATCTGAAGAACGTAATGGTGAGTATCCATTTTCTTACTGCCCAAATAAGCATTAGAATCATAGAGTTGGAAGAGACTGCATGGGCTATCTAGTCCAACCCCTGTCATGTAGGAAAAGCACAATCAAACTACACCTAACAGATGGCCATTCAGCCTCTGTTTAAAAATAAGGAGCTTCCACCACACTCCAAGGTAGTGAATTCCACTATTAAACAGGTCTCATGGTCAGGAAGTTCTTCCTAATGTTCAACTGGAATCTCCTTTCATGTAATTTGAACTCATTGCTCCGAGTTCTAGTCTCCAGGGCAGCAGAAAGAAGCCTGCTCTCTCTTCCGTCATTAAATCATATATTAATACAGCTTGGTGTCCAGGCTGCCTATACAGTCGCAACAATTTTAAATCACAGTATTCTTGTTTTTAACTGCATTTTGATATTTGACTTTTGGTTCTTTCCTTTCAGATTTTTTTAAACAATGAGCCAAGGTTTTGTTTTACCACAAATAGATCTTCTGTTTACCTAACAAACTAACAATTAGTCATGGGTGTGTGTGGGGATTGTTGTATAATATATACTTGAGATAAGATTCTAGTGTTTTTGCACAAGATGCAAGTTTCATCTTGCTTGATAAAGGTTTGCAAACATGGGGTCAGGGAGCTCAAGTATATGGAAAGGATTGGACTTCATTATGTCAAAGGTATATGTGCAGTTCAGAAGCAGAATAGCAGTGTTTCTCAAACTGTGCTCCTCCAGGTGTTCTGGTCTTTAGCTCCTACAATTCCTAACAGCTGGTAAGGTGGGTTGTTGAAGGTTTTTAAGGTTGCATGGCCATGTTCTAGAAGCATTCTCTCCCGATGTTTTGCCTACATCTATGGCAGGCATCCTCAGAGGTTGTGAAGTCCTCACAACCTCTAAGGATGCCTGCCATAGATGCAAGTGAAACGTCAGGCGATAATGCTTCTAGAACATGGCCATACAGCCCGAAAAACCTACAACAACCTAGTGATTCCGGCCATGAAAACCTTCGACAATACAGCTAGTAAGATGGCTCGGATTTCTGGGAGCTGAAGTCCAAAACACCCGGAGGAGTACAGTTTGAGAAACACTGTCGAATAGGTTCATTTACTTGGGTAGAAGAAGAGGACTTCTGCAAATGTCCATTGTGCTGCAAGTGGTAGCTCTCCTGTTGCTCCTTCAAGAAAAAAAATGTAAACATCCTTCCTATATCATGTTTTTCTCCCCTTAAAATTATCAATGTCATGTCAAGCTGTTATGTTACTGACACCCTAAAGATAACTGGTTATCTTTGTGTTTTCGGTTGAATTCCTTCATGCTAGACAAATATTTTTATTCTGCTGTTCTATCATGCTGTATTACATGGCAGCAAACAGTTAAAACAATATAAACAAACCTAGATAAAAATCAAGTAATAATTAAAGAAACATGAATGTTTAAAATACTTTTGATGGGTTGGAAGACTTTTTAAACCCTGGGTATGCTTAGACATGAGGTGCCAAAGATGTTAATTGAAAGCTGTCTTGATGTCACACTGAAAGCAAATCAATGTTGGTGCCAGTCAGGCCTCTGACATGAGGACATTCCACAGGTGATGTGCCACAGCTTCTAAGGTCCTCTCTTATGTTCTTTTCCATGGTATTGTCACCTCCAGTGGAACCAAGAGGTGGGACCTTCTGGCAGATTTCAGTACTTGGGTGGCCATATGTAGGGAAAGGCACTCCTTCAAGTATTGAGCAACTAACACAAGGAAGCTTCTCCAGCCCTATATTCCCAGCCCTGGTCCTGTTATCCTGCATTTTTGCACAAGCCCTGCCCTTCCCTTGCAAATGAAATTATGCCCACTGTTCGTTTTGTGATGTTGATTTGTTGTATTTTGATGATGCTGTTACATCCTTGGTTTTAATTGTATGAATTTTAAGTGTTTTACATTTTAATTTTGTACTTTGACTTCTTTATTTATTCTGGGCTTGGTCCCCATGTAAGTTGCCCCGAGTCCCTTCAGGGAGATCAAGGCGGGTTATAAGAATAAAGTTGTTGTTGTTGTTGTTGTTGTTATTAAGAGGAATTTGCTCTTTTTGTTGTGCTTGAAAGTTGTGATGGGATTTGTGCATATACTGTACATAATATATGTGCTCCCTTGCCTGGTGTTCTCTTTTGCATGCAGCTAAAAAACAATAAGTTCATGTTGGGCATATATTCAAAGTCCTTGATAGCCTGACTTGAATGTTTTGCAGATATGATAGTATTTATCATTGCAGGGCCTTTATGTAGAACTAGGAAGTTGTTTGAGAGAGGTTGTACAAAAACAGTTCTGTTTACATTTTTATGTATGCAAGAGCCACCTTGCATAACTGGGCACTCCCCGACCTGAATACGGGTTCAGCAAAGCTGCTTTTAGACTTCTCTTGTCGACACACTGAAAATTGTGGCTTGTGAGAAATTATAAGATCCTTCAAGATATTTTTTTTTGTTTCAGATATTTGAGTACAGTGTTCAAGTTTGAGATCAAAAATGGTTTTGATATATAGGTTGGAAAGGGGGAATATATGAATCCTCAGATATAGCTGGATTACAGTTCTCATCAGCCTGCAAAGCCAATGAAGGGGGTTTCAGAAATGGTTGTTCAGCAGTGTCTGAAGGGATGCATGTGAATTTCCGCACTGGTCATCAAGTTCCATTATGCAGTTCTTAAATCCGGATACTGTTGCAGAGGGACTGTCATGTTGCAGGGACATGTCATTGGTTTTGAAAGTGAGATCCTTGGGTTGTTTGGCAACTCTGCAACTGCTCACTACTTGTGGTGTGACTTTTAAGCCAGGCTTCCCCAGTCCAAGTCTCTTGAAAGGATTTGTGCTTCAACTCCAGTGATCTCTTATGGTTGGTCATATTGGCTGAATTTGATTAAGATTGTATCTGGAAGAAATTAGGTTAGGAAAAGGTGTTCTAAGGAAAATGGAAGGAAAAAGGAAGAGGGGGGCTGACCAAGGGCAAGATGGATGGATGGATGGTATCCTTGAAATGACTGGCTTGACTTTGAAAGAATGGCGGGGGGTGGGATTGGGGGTGGGGTGGGGGGTGACCACAGCCGACATGAGGTCACAAAGAGTCTGAAGCGACTGAATGAATAAACAATACAAGATCATTAAAAGAGCATATAAATTAGATAGAAATATTAGAGCAAGGAGTCAATGTGGATATATAAATTGTCTATATTATAAGCAAACCTCTAAATACTTATCTATTTAAAAGCCAACATAAGATTTCAAGTTGGGATAGTGAGCTTGATTAACAACGTCACATACATTTTGTAAATTCCCTTTCTTGTCTCTGGAGTTCCAGGTTTAGTTTGTTGCGCTAATATGGTCAAATTATATTTCCATTGGCTCTTTCTCTCTTTCCAACTGTGTCCTACACCAAACGGCCCTGTAATTCATTCCAAAGCCTATAAACAGAACTTTAGCTATCGTGTCAACTAAAGCAGCACTCTGATTTTGTAGATTGTGTTTATTCAGTAAATAATGGAAATGAAAGTTTATTTTCATTATGGATTACCCCCATTGTGTCTTATCAATGAAGCAAAATAAAAATAGGCTTGTTAGTCACCACTGGTCTCCATAGCCATTTTCAATTCTTGTAGCTGAAGAGATTGAATATGTGAAGAAATTGGGTGTTTAGGACAGTGTTTCCAGGAATACAAATTGAATTCAGTCTCCATGCGCCCTCTTCTGTCAAGGAGGAGAGCTGACCTTTAAGGTTAGTTGTACTAAGTACATAGAAGCAGCTTTTTTGTTGGACTCTGAAGATTTTGACATTGAATGGAATATCAGTGATACCGTGACAAATTGAGCCCTAAGAGTGTTCATCTGTAAAATATTAGTCTTAAACATGACATAAAACATCATTTGAGTTGTGTTTACATTTCAGCTCCTCTTAGACACTCTCTGAGTCTTGGGTAAAGAGAGAACATTTGCATGATCATGCCTTAGCCTGAAATATGGACAATCATTTTGGTCATTCACACATTACCTTTGTAGCTCTTCTGATGTGAGCAGATCAGGAAGTCTTCCATTGAATTTTCCTGTTTAGTCCAAACAATAACCTGCTGATTACTATGGAGCAAGCAAAGATGATCAGTTTTACAGCCATATCACACAGCTGCAGAAAATGTCCCATGTCGCCCCACTTTGCCGTGTGTGTAGGGAAGCCACTGCCCTACGCCTCACATTGCCCGGCTCCTCCAGCAGCTGATCCCATGGGGGAAGAGTGCGCGCGGCTCTCCCCCATTAAAGTCAACAGCAACAGTGGAAGCCTTCCATGTTGCAGTGGCGGCATGCGGCAGCACATGCCAACTCCGCTCTCCTTTACTCATGGAGCCAGTGCAGTGTCATCTGATGGGAGTCAGTTGGCTCTATGAGTGACCGGGGCTAAATTGGCGCATTTTAGCCCCAGGTGACGAGGTCCTTAGTTACAATAGGCTTAGTATTCTGCTTTGTTCTAACTTATAAGCTGTTTGAAAATAATGTTACACTGTTGTTAGCAGGAACTTCCTGGTTTATTCATTTGCTCACATTGAGATTGAGGAACAAATGATATTCATGTGTGTTGATAATTATGCAAGCAATTATTGTTTAATTGTGGAAATGTTCTAAAGATCTTAAGCCACTTCTTATTAGGTATTATAATTCTTTGGAAATATGAGTGTACAATTATAAAATAGACACCATAACCTGAGGCCATGAATTCATATATTCAGCTTAGCTTGCTCATAGAATTCTTTCGTTCGCCTCCCTTTGCCCCACATGGTTAGTAATTAGGCAAACCTGCTGCCACGCCACCATTGGAAATGCTAATTAGCTTTGCCTTCTCTTTTGCCGATGCCCATGAATAATTGCTACTTAACCCAAATATCTGCCTATTTGTCCTAATGACTGTGGAAACAGGTCAGCAGATTTACTGAAAAAGAGCCATTTTAATACTTATAGAAGTTTCATCGTCTTTGTTATAGCAGTGTATGAAGCTATGATGGTGATGATGATGATAATTGACATAAAAAAGATATGGTGTTTAAATAGTTAGATTTAGTGCATTTATCTGATTTAGAAAAGGCATTGCCATTTCAAGAATCTATATGTATAAAAGTCCAAATATGTCTGTCTGTCTGTTTGTACCACAAAGGCTGTTGTTAGGTGAAATGGCCATCCCTGTTGTCACTGGATTGGTAGGTGAAGTGGCCCTCTGTAACGTCACTGGGAATAAAGGTCACTTATGTATGCAGGGAAGGGAGGAAGCACGAAAAGAGCCACAAAGAGAGCCATGTTGCCATGGAGATATTGTGAGGTAGGCTCCCTCAGAGCTGGAGAAGGGAGGAAGGGGAGAAAGGGGGAAAAAGAAGGGAAAGAAAGGAGAGGAGAAGGGGGGGGGCTAAGGGGAAGAAAGAAAAGGAGGGAATGAAGGTAGAGAAAGGAAAGGGGGAAAGCTATGAGGGGAGGAAAAGATGAAAAAGGTTGAAAGCGAAGCAATGGCCCCCTGGCACTTCAGGAACACTGGGTATATATGCCAATAAGAATGTGAAAACAGCTGAACCAAAAACCTCTGTCATCTAGCAGTTATGAATTGAGCATTAACTTAATATGCTTCACAATGCGTTATTTTTTTCTTTTTTAAATCGTAATGGTGAAAACAAAAAATTCTTGCAGTCAGGCTTTCAATATATTGTCGAAGGCTTTCATGGCCGGAATCACCGGGTTGTTGTAGGTTTTTTCGGGCTATATGGCCATGTTCTAGAGGCATTCTCTCCTGACGTTTTGCCTGCATCTATGGCAAGCATTCTCAGAGATAGTGAGGTCTGAGGGGCCTCACTACCTCTGAGGATGCTTGCCATAGATGCAGGCGAAACATCAGGAGAGAATGCCTCTAGAACATGGCCATATAGCCTGAAAAAACCAACAACGCAGGCTTTTAATAATTCATATTTTTGTCTAAAGGATATGCAAGTAAAGGCAGTCCCTGACTTTACAAATATCTGACTTACACTTATTGCTAAGAATGGGGTGAGACAACAGGAAGTCAGAGAAGGGAAGGGAAATTCACTCCTGAAAGAGTTATCATGGGAAAAAGGTGTCTCCACTGAAGCTTTCTCACCAATCCTTGTTTCCACAAACAAGCCAACTGTTTCAAAATCTATCACAGGGGCAGAAAGTGAGGTGAAATCTTCTGACAGCAAAACAAATATCACAGGGTTGTTAACCCTTCCCTGTGATATCCAAAACTATAAAATATGTTTTTTGGCTGGAGTTACATTTAAAAATGTACCTGTTCTGACTTCAATACAAATTCATTTTAAGAATAAATCTACAGAACCTTTCTTGTTCATAACTTGCCTATAATTAATAAAATCTAATTTTATACTGAAAAATGATTTGCACTAAATCATTTATAAAAATGAACTATAGACTTTATGCTCAAAGATGGGAAGAAAAAAATATTTTGTCAAATACTTCAATGGCCGGAATAACTGGGTTGCTTTGAGTTTTTCAGGCTGTATGGTCATGTTACAGTAGCATTCTCTTCTGATGTTTTGCCTGTATTTGTGGCAAGCACTCTCAGAGGTTTGCTACTGGAACTTGGTCATACAGCCCGAAAAACTCACAACAACCCAAAATTTTATTTTTTCACGATAAAAATGGTTGGTGAAGATACACAAATTGGGTGTAATGGACAAATTAACATTGCTAATCGAGGACAAACCTCTGAGTGATTTTAAGGACTGGAACATGTTTTTCACTGATGAGTTGGGGGAATTGATGAATTTTGTGGGGGTTTTTTATAGTCGAGGAATGCTTGAAGTAGATAGAAGTGTTACCAACCTTGTTTTTAATGGCAGTATAGGGGATTATAGAATCATAGAATCAAAGAGTTGGAAGAGACCTCATGGGCCATCCAGTCCAACCCCCTGCCAAGAAGCAGGAATATTGCATTCAAATCATCCCTGACAGATCAGTTAAGTGTGGTTGGGCACTTAGATGTAGTTTATGTGTGGAATTTTAATTTTAGCTGTCGAAGTTTTCATCTTTTTTTAATTTTTGTTATTATAGTGATTATTTTGTATATATAAAAGTGCGTGTTCAAGAAAAATACATACCTGTGTTTAAAAATCCACATGGTTTGCTATTCTTCATGAAATACAGCCAATTATTTCCAAAGAATGCTTGATATTATTTCCCATGTTTCAGCTTCCTAAGGATATCCTTGAAAATGATTTTTCCAGAACTGTTCTGAAGTCTTTTCTCCCCTTTCCTTATATTGAGAACTGCCCTATTGCGATTATTATTTGGTCATTCGGTGAGCAACAGGTTTGGCCAACATGAAAATGGAGCTCAAAGCGCAATCCAGATTATTATTAAAACATGCCCACTCTGCCTGTCTATCCTCAGGAAAGAAGGCTATAACGGATGCCAGCCCGTTTCTATCAGAGGCCAATGCAGAAAGAATTGTGAGAACCCTGTGCAAAGTTCGAGGGGCTGCGCTGAAGCTAGGACAGATGCTGAGCATTCAAGGTAAATGCAAATGGATTGTGTATGTTCTCCCCCCTCCCCTTTTGTTTTTTAGTTTTGTTACTCATGCATGGTGATACCCATACATATTGTAAGATTTGGAAGCCAGAAAACAGGCATTCTTATCAGCATCCATCAGCACCACAACACCTACAGTAGTTTCAAAAGGTTGTGGGAGCGGAAGTGCTTTTTAAAGTAATGGCTCGAACTTCTATATAAATAGATTTATTTTTGAAATGGAGACTCTGCTTTGATCCATCCTACACATGCAAATAGCTTAGTATACCTGAAATCCTGTTGGCACGTCCACAAATCGTCTCAGTGGTTGATGATTACAAATGTGGGTGATGATAAAGTTATACTTGCTGAAGGTTACCTGGAATATTCATTCTTCATTCCTAATTTATATCCTAACATCAGACATAAAGGTGGGAAGCGGGATTGTATTTGTTTGGCTGTGTGGCTGTAGTTCTCAAGAGACAGGGAGGATTAATACAGGGAGGAGGATACATTAATAGAGTTGCAGTTTCCCTCCAGACTTTCCCATTTAACATTGGAAGCTCATTGTGAGAACTTATGAGATCATTCTGCACAGTCCTGTGTTCCCAATCCAGTTTATTAACACCTGGATTGGGTTTTATGATTGTTGGTGCAAGATGCAGGCTGTCATCTACTTGCCTCTAACATTTACAGTTTTTACCTGATGTAACGGCAAAATGGAGAATAAAGTCCTTGTTGTAGGGCTGGATCTTAATGTCTAATATAAGATGCGAGAGTGAAATGGCTCTCTGTCAATACTTGGAATTGGACTGTTAGTGAAGAGGCTTCCTGTCAGCATAGCCAGTAATTTTTTTGAAAATGCATTACTTTTTCCTTTTCATCTCCACTTTCTAATGCAGGCCTCCTTTAAACCAGTTGCAGGAGAGAAGCTTCAAAGAAAAGAGCAGTATGAAAAGGGAAGCTGGGAAGTTCTCATACCATGCTTTGAGAATCATAGAAAGATGCAGCTAGTGTGTAATGTAACCCAGACGCTTACCAGAAGCAGGATGTTCTGTGCCCCAGGCAATCTGTACCACAGACCTTTTAGCCTTTCTCCCTTGGAATGAATTGCTTGTAGGAAAATTCCCAGTATTTTACTGAAATCTACATCTATCCAGTAGGAAATCTTGTCCTATTTTAGCACAGAAGTTTTCAGAGGATGAATTGCTTTAACAATACATTTTTTGCTATTCATAAAAATATGAATATTCCCCCTTTACCACCAAACCTGATTCTAGAGTAGGAGTGAGATTCTAAGATATGTCCAGTTTAAGAGGCCCTTTACCTTATTCCAAAATCTGTCTAATTCTAACTTCAGTTTTGTTGCATTTGCTATCATTTGCATAGAAGAATGCACACACACACACACACACATACACACACACAGTGTGTGTGTGTGTGTGTGTGTGTATATATATATATATAAATATAAAAATAATATTAGTGTAATCCTGTAATATAATCTGAAATCCTAAATCCAGCCTGGCCAAGACATTCCCATTTTCACCAGATATTCCTCATAGGATAGCACTATCACACATTTTATCCTCATTGCAATGTCTTATTAAATTCGCCTTCTGCCTCTGGTCTCATACTTGTTTGCCTTGTGCATGCATTTTGAACAACTAGTTGTTACATCTTTTGGTTTGTCTATATTTACTTTGTGGGACAGTTTTCTGGTCCCCGCTTTTATTTTTGTTCATACTATAAAATGGAGGGAAAAAAGAACTGGCAGTGTGTTGGATGCTATAGAGAAGTGTCTCTCAACCTGTGAGTCCCCAGATGTTTTGGCCTTCAACTCCCAAAAATCCTAACAGCTGATTAATCAGCTGAGATTTCTGTGAGTTGTTGGCCAAAACACCTGGAGACCCACAGGTTGAGAACCACTGCTATAGAGGAAAGTCAACAAAGAGTGACTTCTGAAGTGAGGATAAGTTTTAATAGCCCACCTGCCCCCTGCATTTTCCTCTTTTAAAAATTGCTGTTTTCCCTAGTGCACTTATAGATGTTTAGGCACGCTTGCCATTAAATGGGGCAACCTTAGGCCTACAATTTGTTTTGGGTCTTAACTCCCATCAAAACCATCTAGCATGACAAGTAGTTATGGGAGATGAAATCCAAAACATCTGGAATGGTAAAGATTTCTCACTCTTGTAATAAATACTTTCTACCTGTCACAGGAGATGAATTTCTGGTTGTATTTGCTGTGTTTCCTAGTAGTCTTCAGGCAGAAGACTACTAGGACAATCCAAATACATAATACTCACCTTGGTTTGTTACTGTGCAGATTATGGAAACCTTCCAGAATTTTTTGATGTCTTAACAGCCTTGCCCATAAATAGCAAGTGAGAACATTTCATTGCTATGTTAGTACTACAAGTGATGAGAAAGTCATACTGGGTCACAAGTGTTTATGATCTGTTTTGTGAAAGCAGAGGATCCTGTGGGGATTACAATGCCTATATGTTCTTTTTGATAAGTGGGTGGTAACTCAACCTTTTTTCCAGGTTTTACCAGTAGAGTGCTAAAAGGGGACGTACTTAGGTCTAAACAGTCACCTAAAATGTGGTGGTTGTTTGTGGCCAGGAAAAGAGAACTGGAACGATAGAGTGAACAACTTACTCCCCCAAAGTGTGTCTTTGTAGTTGATGAGGAACTGAGTAACTCAGAATTAACTCACATTGCTTAGTTATTACATTCTGATGGGCCTGATTTACCCCCTTTTCTTTCTACCAGATGATGCCTTTATCAACCCTCACTTGCAGAAGATTTTTGAACGTGTGCGTCAAAGTGCAGATTTCATGCCTATAAAGCAAATGATGGTGAGAATTTGGTTTAGCAATATGACATAAATAATCTGAAGATTATAACAGAAAGCAGGATCCTGTTCTGTTTCGTACTGAAGCTTGGTGTTGCTCATGGGCAGGCTGGTAGTAGAAACAAACATTTATTACCTTTCTTACACCCAATGTCTTCCTTTTTCAGGAAGTTCTTTAAAATATATACTGTATTAATTATAGTTACTTTCTTTGAACGTTAGTTCTCTAATTCAATGGGAAATGTTTTGCTGTACTTTGTGAGTCAATTGGCACTTGAATTCATTTCTAGTTGCCTTCTACATCTTTGACTCTTGATAGTTAAACTTATGAGAAATCTTAGTATCAGATTTTGCTAGATAGAGAATGCATATACAATACTCATTTTGTGTATTCTTTTTGCTCTAGAAAACCTTGAACAATGATCTTGGCCCTAACTGGCGTGATAAATTGGAGTTTTTTGAAGAGCGACCTTTTGCTGCAGCTTCCATTGGACAGGTTCATCTGGCACGCTTGAAAAATGGCAAAGAAGTTGCCATGAAAATCCAGGTGGGCCTAGCAGTGTTCAGCATTTGTGGAGCCAGGACCCACCTTTATCTCCACCAATTGGGGGAGGGGGAATAGAAAGTTCTGCATACCTGAAGATAGTAGAAAGTTTTCTTGTTATTGGATTGCTGTTCCATTTCTTGCTGAGCCCAGCACAGGCTAAAATGGAAAGTTACTGTTGCTGCGCCTGTTCATGTCAGTCTGCTGTCCAGAGCATAAGTGTTAAGCTGTGAAAACTGGCTTCTCCTGCATGTCAGGAATAGGGAGTATACTGAGTTGTGGTTTTCCCAGGCTCAATTTTGAAGTATTTCTTCCTGCAGTATTAGAGAGTAATAGACTAGGTTTTGAACAATGTAAATATGCTTGGAAAGATGAAGCAGTAACTCATTGTGCCTCTTTCCTTTCCCCATTTTTGGAAGTTAGAACTTTCAAATTAGAATTTTTCAGTGATGCAGCAGTTCCTGGGCAAACTGTTTTGTGTTACAACAGAATAATATTTTAAAGGATTTTGTGCCAGATCTTTTGCATTTCTCTGGTAAAGCATGTGTTTAGGAACAAGTATCTAAAAAAACCAAACAAATGACCAGTTCATAAATAATAATAATAATAATAATAATAATAATAATAATAATAATAATTTTAAAAAATATTTCTAGACTGCTCTCTCCCCCAAAAAAGGACGCAGGGTGGTTTACAGGTTTACACACAGAGATAGGCAAACTTTCAACAAACACATCAGAAATAATACAAAATAATGCACAATAACAACAGTAATTTTATAATTTTATAATGAAAAATATTAAACATTAAAATGGGAACTAGGTAGCAATAAACCAATTAGACAATAATCTAAGACATGAGTGAACATTAAACATATGTCATTAAACGCAGTTAAAATAAATTGCATTAAAATGGCTAAAACAAGTGTTTATTAAAAATGTATCACAGCCATTGTATAGTTCAAATACGTTAATGCCTTTTAACAAGTTTCTTATTCACACTTGTGAAATAAAATAACCAAATGAGATAAGCCATGAATAAATAAAGAAAAACACCCTGAACCTTTTTGTGGATACCTTGAATGATCCTTCCGTAATGCACATAGGGATGATTTTCCCTTTATTTGGCCTGTAGTTTTCTTATAATTTCCACTATGTTGTTGGTATTTGTAGATTTGTGCTTTTAAAAAAAAAACACGTTTGAGGTTGATGATGAAGCAAGGTATTTTGCTTCTCTGTTCTCTCTCTCTCTGTTTATGTGTGCTCAGTCAAGGATTCTAGAGACAGCTGCCTCTTGTAAGCAGGATCACACAGTTAAAATAGGATTGACTAGACTAGAATCCCATCTTTGCATTTATGTTATTCCTTCTTCACCATCCTTCCAATGCTGGTGTGTTTGAAAATATCTAGAGAAACAGAGGATATGGAGAAGTGGGAGACTGGACACAAATAAAAAGACTTTGTGAAAAGGAGCTTCTTTGGCAGGGGCTTTCTTCATTGATGCATTCTACTGATTTTACACATAGTAGTATAGTCACATAACATGTTAGGAATATTGATTATTTGGGGTAATAATCTGTTTTGAGTGGCATTCCCCATCCTGGAAACCTTCATATATATTGGGCTACATCTCCCATCTTCCCTAGCAAGTGATCATGCTTAACTATGGCTAATGTCGGCCAAAACATTTGGGAAGGGGTTGTTCAAAGGAGTAGTGATACAGTGCTTCAGGCCAACTATTTTCTCATAATTTCTCTTTTATTTTGCAGTATCCTGGAGTGGCCCAGAGCATTAATAGTGATGTCAGCAATCTGATGACTGTCCTGAGTATGAGCAATGTTCTCCCAGAAGGTAAAAAGCCACTTGCAATTGTGGGAGGGATTTTCATGGGAAGTTTGTATTCCTGGAAGAAAGCGGCTTGTTGGGCAGCTTAAAATTTCTAGAATCTTGTTACATGTTATATGGCCTTTCTCTGTTCCTGTTGTTCTTTGAAAAATACTGGTTTAATATGCTTTGAATTCCTAAATGTGTCTAGTACGATAGGATGGGATAGATCTTATTCTTAATGTGATTACACTATGTTTTGGGAAATATTTAAAAATAGTGTCTCCTTCCATCAGCTCAACAGTGATACATACTGTACTGTTCGATATATAAGGTGATAGCTTTTGTTGATGGGCACCTGAACTATGTCTTTTTAAAACACAAGGGATCCTTTTATTCATGCTGCAGGTGCTACATAAGGAGCACATGTGGGGGTATCTTTGACTTACTTGTTTAATAATTCAGTTTAGTAGGCATTTAACAAAGTTACCCATGCTTGATGTGAGGTTTGGGCTGAAAGTGTCACTGGGGTTTGAGTCTACAAACAGAAATAGTTGTTTTGAGGTTTCATCTTCTTATGTCTCCCAAGTAAAATTCTTTGGAGAGCTCCCAGGCTCTGTGAATTGTGTGTGCTGGAGCTGATTCATGCTGCTTTGAAAAAATTACATCCAGCATTTGTGACTGATACATCAAGGGAGAGAAAGAGAATAGTTTGCTGCGCAACACATTTGTCCACCTCTCCTCTGTTGTAAATCTGTGGACTTGTTGCCAGTTGTGCACAGAGGCAAACTGAGAGAACAATTTCTTTCCTTGGGTTTTCTATGCCTGGCTATGTTGAATGTTGGGCAAAGGTCCAAGGCCTTAATTTTAATCCCTGTTGCTAGATGTCATTAATCTTGGTACTGAAGAATAAAATAAAAAGCACCCACAGCTTTGTTGTGCTTCTTCTTTTTTCCATTTATGGAGAAGATGGTTTTCTTTTCTTGTGGCTGCTTATAACTCCCAAACAAGAGTGTTTTTCCAATGACACCATCCTAGTTGTCAATCTCGATGGCATCATATCCCTGCTAGTGTTAAACTTTACTTTGGCAGCATTTTGCCGAAACCCTGTAGCCTTCATTCCTGGCCTTAGAGCCATGTAATTTATGAAAGATGATTGTTTTTGTGAAATCTATCCTCAAACTCTGAGTTCTGCTACCAGTTATGTTGCTTTTTATTTAAGCCAGCTCTCTATCCAGTTTTCAATTTTGCCTTTAGGTCTCTTCCCTGAACATCTGATTGAAGTTCTGAGCAGAGAGCTGGCCCTGGAATGTGATTATAAGAGAGAGGCATCCTGTGCAAAGAAATTCAGGTGCGTTCCACTGGGATTTTCTGCTTCTCTTTATCCCCAGCCCTCCCATTTTAAAACATTATGTTGACGAAGCCCTGCAGGGTATCATTAATGCAGAGTTTGTGAAGTCTTTGACCCAGATACTTGACTGGGGCATGTTACTGGGAACAGGAGATATTTGAAGCTGAGAAAAAAGGCTGAGTGAAGAGCAAAATACCATCCTTTTGGCAAAGCATCTCTGCTTTTATGGGCCAGACACTGTAGAGACACCAGACCTGCTAAAGGAGATTTTAACCTTTCATTGGCTGCCCCTCAGGGAACTGCTGAAGGATCACCCATTCTTTTATGTCCCTGCTGTGGTGGACGAGTTGTGCAGCTCCCATGTCCTGACGACAGAACTGGTCACAGGGTTTCCACTGGATCAAGCTGAAGAACTCAGCCAGGAGATCCGGAATGAGGTACTGTGTGTTGGGTTGGTTTCATCTTGAAGGTGACAACCTTTTCAGGCCATTTTGTTAACAGTGGAAGCCTGCTTGGGGAAAAGTGCAAGGCTGCTGCTGGGGAGGCATTTTCCATGGACAGATTCCAGGCAAGCAGAGTTGCTTTTCCGCGAAACCATCTAATAGTTGCTTTTGTGTATGGAGGACTGGAAATAGCACTTGTGAAAAGGATTCGGCTCACTTGCCTTCTCTCCCAGCAGAATTGTAGGGAGGAAGACCATAAAGGCTTCCCACCTCAGCTCCTTCTGTCTGGCTGTTGTCAGAGTGTTTGCTGCACATGTGTCATTGTGCACAGGATCCTGACCTGCTGCTTTAGTTCTTGGACAGGCCTAGCACTTGCTTAAATTTCAGAGAACCCACAGTTGGGTTTCTGCCCTAAATGATACATTTTCAGCTACAAATACAAAGTACTGTTCATTGGTTCTTCTCCTTCAACAGACAGCTTTTGAGAGGCCAAACGTGACCTTGTAGGTAGGATGACTAGCTTGGCAAAAGTAGTCATCTTCGTTTTCCTGGGACAAGTGATGAGAAATGCATCATCAACTTATTGCACATGTGACCAAATATAGATAGGTGTCCCAGCTGGATCAACCCTAGAAGCCGAAGTCTGTTGGAAAAGTACTCACAGTAAACAAGGGGTAGAAGAGAGGTGAAGCATGGACAAAAGGGCATTGAAGCTGAATATAGTACAGACTGGAGAGTTAACTGGAGGACAGACAATTCTAGCTGCTGCCAGATTGGCAGATGGAGCTGCCTTGGGATCTTGACATACCACATTGGAGGTCATAAACAGCCTTAACAGCTGTCAGCACATCACTGAATGACAGTATAGCTTGTGCTCTCTAGGCAAGAGAAAGGCTGGCTGCTGATGGTAGGTTTTTTCCAATATTATAGAAAACCTTTCAAAGCCTACAACTGCCACAATCCTCTAGCCAGTATGAGCAATGGCTGAGGGATTCTTGGAGTTTATAGTCCCAAAAATATTTTTGCAATCTCTGTAAATGTTCTTGGCTTTGATTTTTCCTGTACATTCTTCCTGCCCGGGAATCTAACAAATCAAAGGCTTAGTTTGGTTGCTGGCTTTTCAATTCAATACAAAGGACACACAGTTAACAGTGTATCCCTACTATGGTTGCTTGCTCTTCATCTCAACAGTCTTGACTTGTAAGAAGTAATTGGTGTAAGGTGCTTCTCCTCCCTGACCAAATGCACCCATGTTGCTCTCTTGTGCTGTTCCATGAATGTCAGCAGTCCTAAAACAGGTCTGCTGACCGTGCCTAAATGACAGTGTATTTGCATAAACACGTTATATCACAGTCACAACTTCCCTTTGGCACCAGAAATGCAAGCTTGGAAGTATGTAGAATGAGGTTGGTGAATTAAATCTTGGTAGATAATATCTCAGATGGCTCTTGTTTCCTCTTCTGTCCTTCTGATGCATGTTTCAGATGATGCTAGAGTGCAGTTAAGTCATCTGCCACAAAGGAGTTATTGGCCTATTTCTCTTTGAGTGGCTTCAAACATTAATCAGAAAAGCTACACAATCCCCTTTTCAGAACTCAAACTATGTAGTTTCATGCATCCCTGAGCCAATGTTTGATGGATGAACCTTAGCTGCATCTGCTGTCAGGACATTTCGTAACATACTCCAGTTGACACGCATTCTTGGAAGGCCATGGCATACCTTTCAAGGAGTGCTAAAAATCTAAAATTGCATGAGTGAGATAGAAGATAGTGTCTGTTGCCCACCAGTGGTGTTTTCGATCCTCATCTTTTTCTCTCCTGTTGTTGGAACATCTGCAGATCTGCCACAACATACTGGTCTTGTGCTTGCGAGAACTGTTTGAGTTCAGGTATATGCAGACTGATCCAAACTGGTCTAACTTCTTCTATGACCCAGAATTGCATAAGGTAAGACCCTCTCTATAACGTGGACTAGGTGCTTCCTGCTGACAGAATCGGGTTACTGTCTCTTGTCCTCTTTAGTAACTTGCTTGCTAATGTGACCCTTTAGCCAAAAAGTTGGAAGTGATTAGAGTAGTTTGGCAGCAGGAAAAGTACCTGGCATGTGATTCCCACCTCTGCTCTAGAGATTTAACTTCATTTAAAAAACACAGTGGCTTTCAGGTGTTGTCCAGAGAACCTGTTTCCTGCTAATTTGTCTACTGATAGATTTGTTTATATGAGGCATTGGTTGGGCTCTTGTCTAGTGCTAGTGGAACATGCATTTTAGAGTAAATGCCACAAAGTTGTATTTGTGGATTTCTAAAGACAAATAGTGACAAGCCAGCTGAATTTTCACTGTATTCACTGTTTCTGATTTTCTGAATGAGGCTTTTGATATCATGTGATAGGGTTTACTAAATTGGCATTTGAAAATCTCTGGTCACGGAAATAGTACACAAGCTTCTGCAGCATTCGCTTATGTTCTGTGTTTCTTCCTTCAAATTCAAGATGATACATGTAGTTATCTTCCCATCTTTTTTACCCTCATAAAAAGTATGCCAGCTATAGTAACTGTATTGAGGTTATTTACTAAATGTAGTAATTTAGTGGGGAATTTGAATGAGGATATTCCAAAAATATCTGGTACTCTACAACTCCATAATGGCTCTGCATGTATATAAGCCAAGGGTTGACTGAGGATTAGCTGAAAGATGTTGCAAGAGTACCTGATCGAGTGGCATCACAAGTCCCATGAGAGGCCACATTTGGTATAAAAAAGGCATTGCCACTGCTGTGCAGCAGTGCTACAAGGTAGATATGGGTATACATTGATCAAACACCCTTGGCTGTGCCAATATTGTTGCTTTGTGATGAGGGGCTTTATAGTATCAGTTTCTTTCATTGGCTCCTTTTGGGTCGCCTTACCCAGTTGATCCTGTGAGCCCATTTAGGTCATGTGTTCTTGTCTTTGTTTCTACTGCTTACAAAACTGAAAAACAAACTGCTGTAATTTCTTAGTAATAGACTTCTTGCAAGCTCCAGCAGTTTTGCCAGTGATGCCTTTTGTTCTATGTACAGGGTTCTGTTTCTAGATTTTCAAGATAAGCAATTTTTTTGAAGAACTCTGACTGTTAAGAAAAACATCAAACATTTGCAGTCTTTCCACAGTAGAAACCACTCCACATGAAATATTTGTACATTTCTTTATGCAGGTAGCCCTTCTGGATTTTGGGGCAACCCGTGGCTTTGATGAAGAATTTACAGACGTCTACATAGAGGTGAGGACTCTGCTTTTGCTCAGATCTGTTTTGTGAGCTGGAGACATGTGCTGATCATGTGTGTAGAGGGCCCCAAGCCTAGGGGTGCCTGTGTGAATTCAGAATATTTTGATACATCCCAGGAGACTCACCAAATGTGTTTTAATGCATATTTTAAAAATGAAACATTCTCAGTCAGTAGAGAATGAGCCATCCAAGAATGGGCTAATTCCAGGCATTGCTCAGGGGAAACAAGGGACCAATTACCCATTGTTTTGGAAGTATTTCATATTAGATCCCTTGTCTTCCTCAGTTCTTTTTCCGTGCTTCACCCAAGAAAGCTCATATATTGGTTCCTCTTCATTCCCTTGGCTTAAATTCTTAAACTTTTGCTGCTTTCGTCCTTTGCTTTCCCTTGCCTTTGTCCTCATGGTAGTGGACAATTTGAGAGCCAGACAGATGCCTGTCAGTTTGAGCAGATGAATGAGACCCAGTTTGTTACAAGGGAAATCTCTTTTGGTGAACAATATCTGGATGAATATTCTTATAAAAACAATGGATTTTTTAAAGGATATGCTTTCCATGCCCAGGATATGCATTTCCATGCCCAGGAAGGCTAGATTTCATATTTCCCCAACTTGGTTCCTTTCAGATGTTTTATATCCAACCCCCGCATCATTCTTGATTATTGATGCCTTGGGTTGATAGGACTATTAGTGCTGACATCTGAAGGACCTCAGCTTGGGAGAAGTTGTGCTGCTTGGCCACAATAGCTCACTGACTTTTAATGTGCTGTCTTGTGGTTCTTGTCATCTGTTGTTATTGGTAATGTTTAAAAAATATGCATCTATTACTTTCATCTAGATCTCAGATTTCTTTCCTTGTAAAGGCAGATAAGTTCTTGAACTTTCAAGCTGCTTGCATTTAAAAAAATTATTGGCATATATTTATCATGTGTTGAAAATCCCTAGTCTTCCTGGATAATTGAGCCACTTTTGGGTTGGAGAATAAAAATTAACCTGAAGTTGCTTAATTTGAGTATCTCCCAACCCTATTGCCTTCTAGCTTTTGAAGGTTCATTTTGTTTTGTTTTTCATCTTGCAGTTAATCAAAGCTGCTGCTGAGATGGACCGAGAGACAGTGCTGAGGAAATCAATAGAAATGAAATTCTTAACTGGATACGAAGTCAAGGTACACAGCAGAAATGAAGTTTATGGTTAACTAGCGCTGTGACATCAGTCTTGTTTTACTGAAGCTTTGCTAAAGAAAGTACAATGGATACAGAGTTTTGAAATGGGAGTGTTCACAGAGAGATTCATTGGTTGCATTAGCACATAATGATAAGCCAAGTTTCTTACCTAAGCCTGGTACATGTGCATGAGGACAATAGTAGTGTATGGAGAGAGGCTTCTCCTGCTTCTTGTGGTGTGTTGCTTGCAAAGCATATGTTCTGCCAAGCTAGGGTAGAACTTACTAGCAAAAGTGTGAACCTAGGCTTCAGGTTACACTTCCTAAACCAATCCAGATTTGTAAAACTAACAGTGAATACCTCTTTTCCAAACATAACCTGCAAAGCTTTATTTCTGGCCCATCTGGTTTCCCCCCAAAGCCCAATTAGTTTGCTTTGTCATGCAGATACTTGATGTTTAATATCAAAGTTGTTTTGTCCAAGTGTGCATTGAAGAGCATACATTGTTATCTCAATTTATAATCTGTAGCAGGATTGAAAATTAGAATTGCAGTTTGACTGCTTGTGTAGAATCAGAATTATGGAGTTGGAAGAGACCGCAAGGGCCATCCAGTCCAGCCTCTTGCCCAGCAGGAACACACATTCAAAGCATCCCTACCAAAAGGCCATTCAGCTTCTGCTTAAAAATCTCCAGAGGAGACTCCATCACACTGAGGAAGCATATTCTACTGCCGAACAGCTCTTACCATGTGGCCTGGCCCAGGAGGACAGTCACTGATTCCTTTTTTAGACACTCTTGGAAACGCAATTCCTGGACTAGGCCTTGTCCCTTTCCCCCACTGTGGTGTGTCTAGAGAGTCCTTTGTTTCCTGAAGCTTAGGAGTAGCAGGAGACTGGAATGGTGTTTGGTTTGTGCAGTGTAAAGCAAAAAGTGAAGGGGCAGAATTGCAAGAAATGTGAAGTTGGAAGTGATGAGGTTTTCTCTACTGCATCCATGTGTGGTTTCTGATGTTGTATTCTTATTGAGCTCTGTTTGATCAGAACAAAGTCCTGTCTAGCTCAGCATGCTGTTCTCATAATGACTTATGGAAAGATCACCCTCTGTATAGCCCCCTTGTCATCCCTTCTTATGATATACAGAAACATACTGCACTTGTGGTTAAGAGGTGATAAGGAGCCATCTTGCCTAAGAGCTATTGATAGTGCTATCCTCTGTGAATTTATCCACCCATCATAAATTTTAAAGATTTGGTTCAGTAGGTTCATGATCGATGGTGAATAGACAATGAAACTTACCCTTGGGTATTTGGTGACTTTGCGATTTGGTACAGGATGTGTACTTTCGGTTTTGAATGGTTCCTCTCAGTTGAATTGTGGAGATGCAGAGGCTGGAATCAGTGTAGTAACACATGAGATGGTGGAGCTTGCTGTTTTTAATTTAAGAAGTCACAAAAGGGACAGTTTCTGAAGGTCTGTTGTGTGGATTGAATCAAACATTGAGGTAGCCTTCAGCTTCAAATGGAACAATCAACGAGACTTAGTCCCATAGTTGAAGACAGGAGCCCCTCATTTTTCTTTGTGCAGAAAAATTCTTACTGAAGGAGTCCTATTGCAAGTAAGAAGTAATTTATTATAAGATAGTAAACCAGATGCTTAGTCTTTGTACCATACTAGATTGTATATCTGTTTGCACTGTGTGTGTTGGATGTTTCATGTGCTTACAGCTGTATTTTTGTGGTGTCCATATTCAGTAGATTTCTTTACAAGTCAGGTTTTGATGGGAAACTAGGCTGCTTGTAGTGTCTCTTTCTCTCTACACGCATACACACACAGAGAATACAGAGCAAGCCTCCTGACTTCTGAAGTGCCTGAAATCTGCATCTTTATTTTAGCTGTGCAAACAGTATCTACCAGGCTAGACTTTTGTGTTTCTGGGTGGGCTTATAAAGCTGTTACATTGTTTTGTCCAGTTCACAAAATGTATTATTAAATGTAAATGATAGTTGCTCTCCCYCCCCCCCCCCCCCCCAGTATTTTTGATACATCTGTTCCATTAAGTTTGGAATGGCACCTTTTTGTTCTCTTTTCTCTCAGGCTATGGAAGATGCACATTTGGATGCTGTCCTCATCCTGGGAGAAGCATTTGCTTCCAGTGAACCTTTTGACTTTGGCTGCCAACATACCACAGAGAAGATACATGGCTTAATCCCAGTCATGCTGAAGCACAGGCTGGTCCCTCCACCTGAGGAGACCTACTCTCTCCATCGGAAAATGGGGGGTTCTTTTCTCATATGCTCCAAACTGAAGGCCAAAATTCCATGCAAGGACATGTTTCAGGAAGCCTACGGGAATTACTGGAGCAGAAAGGCCAAGAAGGAGGAGAATAAAAACTGTTAAAACACCTTGTGCTACATGGCCAATCGTCCAAATTGTGGTTAACCACCATTCAGTTTTTTCTCACAACCCCAGGATCACTGCAGAAGCATGGCAACCTGTCACCTGGAAAGAGAACGCCTGGTTTCAAGGGCAATATTGTTTGTCTATTAATCGTATCTCCTGCACTTTATACACTCACCATTATCTGTGTAACTTTGTTTTACAGGAAATGGCAATCAGCTAGTATAGGGTACCTGGAGGAAAACTAGGCAGCTGTGTTTCTTTACTATCCTAGGTATGGGCTTTCATTTTCATAGTTTAATACTAATCGCTGTGTACCTTTAAAAAAAGTAACAGCAGATGGAGGAAAGTGAACCAAAATAAGTTGGCATTGAAATCTTATTTGTAATTCTTCAAACATTTGTGGTTTTTCCCCATTTTTAGATGTCCTTCAGGGTTTTTTGTCCAAGGTGGAATACAAATGGTTTGATATTGTGAAGAAGGTTGCCAACATAACTTACAGAGAAAACACCTATTTTTGTATCATATTTGATGGGAGTCTGTAATGGGATTTCCTGGTGGAGCAGGACAAGATGTGTACATAGGGATTTTTTATGCCTTCAGTTGTTAATTTTCAAGGAAAGTGAAGATTTTAAAGAATCAGATGCAAGAGATGTGGTGGCATATATAGAACACTCTGCTTGAAATTCAGTTGCTCTCTTCTGATTCTTTGAGTTGAATGTATAAGCAGAGGGAATGTAATACATGGAGTTCTCATTAAATGATTCAGCGGAACCAGAGCTCTAACTGGCATTTGTAGAAGCCCAACTGTGAAAATGTAGTCCTACCATTTTCATGTTTGCATCTTTGTAGTGCAATTATTGATGGAAAGCAAGTGGGGGAAACTTGTACTCTGGGCTTCTTATAGCAGTATCAAAGAAGGCAATTTGGGATTACATTGAAAAGCTTAATATACATGTAAGTAGCTGAACGCACAACCTTAAACAATTGGAGGCAAGCTGGCAAATGTATTTTGGACTTTTTGTAAGAGTTTGAAGCTGTACAACTTTCAATTGATTTCCAATAAAGAAGTGCTTGTGCAGATGACTGTTGTCCACTGACTTAGTGGAACGACTCGCATTACAGTTTTCGTTTTCACTTCAGCTTAATCCATTTTACTTTGGGAGGACTGGATACAGTATTGCCATCCAAGACATTCCTGGCACTTGTAGTCTAAAATCTTTATGCATTCGATGGAAGGCCTGAAGTGGGAAATAATGCCTTTGGCTTAATATAACTGGAATGAAATCGGAAAATTCCATTACACAGGATGATGGAGCAAGCAAAAATATTCTAAGCATATTCACTTGGAGATTCCCGCTTTATACCTTCAAGGTATCTTAGACTACAGCAAACAGGAATGTTGGGATAGTCTGAGTGGCCCTTCTATCCATAATGAACAATCTGGCACAGAAGTACTGGTAGGTTTGTAGTCCACACAAGAGACTTAATATCTGACTGAGCATTGTTTGTAGCCTCCAAAATTAATGGCCCACAGTTTGAGTGTGCATTAATGCCTTTAGGTCACATATCCCTATGCTGATTGTAAATACTGGGTATGCTTAGTTTGCTATGGGGAATGCATGGGATAGTTTGCCCTGCAGCCACCTTCCCATTCCAAAAACATCTCCTGCTCTTTATTACAGTATTGTATGGCTCTTCCTTCTCCAGCTCTGATGCGAATAGGATGCAATGATACTGAAGGGCAGGATTACATTATAATGAACTATATTGAATTGGCTAGTTTGTTAGAATGTTGTGCTGGTGTGCCAGAAGAGTTGCTCTTCATTTCATTATGCTATCTGCCATCCTGCTGCCCTCTGATAGCCTGCAAACAATATTAGCAAGTGTTCTCTTCACATTAGTTCTATTCAGTTTTCAAAAGTCACAAAAGACATATGACCATTGTAGAAGCTAAATGCTATGAGTCGGATCCAGTTTTCATCACATGCAGCTAGGCTGCTGGAAGATTTCTTCAATCGCTTGAAATGTTCAGGCAGAGCCAACTACCAATAGAGGAATTATATCCAACCTTTCAACTTGAAAAATGAATTGCCGTATTTCATCCCACAGTAGTTGACACCATGTAATAGTAACTCCCCCATTTTGGGTGTGGCAAATTTTTGTATTCCTTGTGTAATAGTTGCAGAGTCATTCTCACAAGGCAAGACAGTTTAAAAACTGAAAAATGCAGGTCTCTGGAGCTCCACTCTTCCTTCCTCTGAAGCAAGACGGTTTAAAAAACCTGAAATGGAGGTGTCTGGAACTCAGGCCTTTCTCCAAAGAGCTCAATTTCTGATTTTGTAGACTGCCTTGCCTTCAAAAAATGTAAGAATGGAGGGGCATCTCTTCCCCTCCTTTCTCAAAACCAAAGCAGTTTTAAAAAAACAATCAAACAGAAATGGAGCTGGTTGAAGCTGGATCATCCCACCTTCTCCTCTTTTGCAGGTAAGGCATTTTATTTATTTGTTTTTAAAAAACACAAACCAGAGTATCAAAAGGAGATTTTTTTTCCTTACATAATAGTCCCACCCCCTTTTTTGGAAAAAAAGGGGGGGGGAGTGTGACTATTATGTGATGAAATAATGTATGCATAGTGATAATCATTTCATCTTTCCTGAATCAGTTGCAAATTGAAATTAAGAGTATTGGGTAAAATAATTTCTTACATCATACTTTCACACCCCATTCAGCTTTTTCTTTGCGAAAAACACTAGCTTACAGTATTTGTTTGATGAACATAAAGATAACATAGCTAAAGAAGGCCTGGGTCCTACTTAGTCTTACTGACTTGACAGTTACAATCATTGGATAAAAAAACCATGAATATGAATAGATGAAGTGAGGAATCTACATGATTAAGCTCTCAATGAATGCTAAATAAACCCAGTAGGAAAAAAATGCACCACTGTGGACTGATCCTAACATGTTGCTGACAGGGAGGCTGGGCTATACAAAAGCCAATAGCTCCTGACATGTACTAGCTACCTGATGAGTCAGTTCTTGAGAGTTCATAAGGGAATGTCACATTATTTTAAACATGGTTCAACAGCATGATGGAAGGCTATCTAGTAGAGATTCCTAATATATTTTCAGGTTTCCTCTTAGGAAACGTAGAACTCTGCGTCTTATCTCCCATAATGTTCACATGATGCATAGGTAAGTTTATATAAAGAATGATTGAAATGTATAGTAATGCTTCAATTGCAAAGCATAAAAGGTCTCTTGAGTAAGAACTTACAAAAACCTTAGCTGAAAACGATTACTTTTTAGTACTTTTTGTAAATGTCATTTCATAATTGTTTAGGCATTATTTTCTAATATAATCCAACTCTTAACAGTGTAGTGTTCACCCCACTCAGTAAGAAAAAAATCCCCATTAATTTGGGGTGGGCTCAAGGAGGAAGGCACGAAATGTGTGGAGGATGATTAAAACACAAAGAAAAGTATAAAAAGCTGACAAGGGGCCTATTGAGCCCAAACCTTTGCAAGCCAATTGGGTTCCCTGGTGCTTTGTGACAAAACTGCATGGACATTGTTTAGTCTGCTTGTTACTTCTAACACCTTTCCTGGTACTTAGCAGTCTATTTTATGTCAACTAGCTMTTTTCTTGGAAAAATCCACTAAATTACAAGTAAGGTTTTCATGCTGGTCACAATTGGAAGAAAAAATGTATTAGGACCCCCCCCCCCAAAAAACAAACAAAACCAAAACAAAACAAGGACACCAGGGTCATGATTTCATCCAAAGTATTATATTTAACCAGTGGAGGGAGGAAGGATGGGGCAGGGGAAAATTGGTTTTCATGATCTTTCAACCATTTGTGAAATATTTCTTTAAGGGGGGAAATAAATTTGAACATGGATTCATCTAATAATGAAATACTGTATTGTCGAAGGCTTTCATAGCCGGGATCACTGGGTTGTTGTAGGTTTTTCCGGGCTATATGGCCATGAAAATTGGCTCCAGAACATGGCCATATAGCCCGGAAAAACCTACAACAACCCAATGAAATAGTGGCTTGTGTAATACTAGGATTAGATACATTGCTGGTTATAAAGTTGATTTTTCTAAGAGGTAGACCTTTTCCTAAAAAGCACAGAGGTAATGCCAATCAATTCAACCCTTCCCTTCCTGCTCTGGGCATTTGATGCTATGAAATGTTACCTCCTCTAGATTGGAGCAGTAACATTTTAAAATCTTCTGACCATGTTTTTATTCCACCTCAAATTGAAAGGGATAGTGTGTCAGCAGGCGTCAGCAAGGATTTTTCAGTTCTCAGTAATAACAATAAACTTGTGTGTCAGCTGTACCCATACCTTGAGATGTCAGATGGTTTTCCACACTTTAGTTACACCCCGCTTGGACTACTGTAACACTCTTTAAGTGGGGTTGCCTTTGAAGATAGTTTGGAAGCTTCAACTTGTGCAGAGATCGGCAGCCAGATTGCTAACTGCTATACAGGGAGCAAACAATTCCCATGTTACGGAAGATCCACTGGCTGCCGGTATGCTTTCGGGCTAAATACAAAGTGCTGGTTATTACCTATAAAGCCCTAAACAGTTTGGACCCAGCCCTGTTTGGGCATTGCAATCAGTGGAGGGAGCTCTGCTCTCGATCCCACCTCCTCAAGCACGGTTGGTGGGAACGAGAGAGGGGGCCTTCCCTGTGGTTGCCCCATCCCTCTGGAACTCCCTCCCTAAATAAATCAGATACCCCCCTCTTAAAAGAAACTCAATTTCTGTGAATTAGCTTACAGAGAGGAAGGAAAATAGACTAATACTGATTCTACTTTGAGACGTTTCTGGCAACAAACAATTTAAAATTATGGAGATCTATATTTTGATATGTATTTTAACCTGCAATTCTATTTGATATGTTTTATTTATATGTTTATATATTTTGATCAATTTCTGTTAATTGTCTATTATGCTTTGTACTGGCATTGAATGTTTGCCATTTTACTTTGGAAGCCTTCCTGAGTCCCCTCAGGGAGAGAGGGCCGGTTCAAAATAAAGTATTATTATTTAAAGGAAAATATACACTGATCCTGCTCTAAAACATTGCCTGCAGGCTGCATGTAGCCCTTAAAGCCTCCTGATCTGGGAGCAATCTTTTGATGCCCAAACTGCCTAAAAATACAGCATTTCAAATATCCAGCCCTGCAACTTAGCATCCCTAAAATACCAAATAAATAAAATAAAAAGTTGTTTGAAAGTTTACCAGAATGACAACTTTAATTGACATTGTATCATTTAGAGCATAATGAAGCTCACCAGCGCAACCCATTGAACAGGTGTTAGAATGTAAAGTGCAGCCCTCCACCTGTTTTGGCCTTCAACTCCTAGAAGCACTTGCAGCATGTTTGTGGGTGAGAGCTGGTTTGGGGAAAGGTCTACTCCCTCTTACTTATTCCCATTCTTAAACTACCCTTTGCCTGAAATGCATCATGGCAGCAAGTTAAATTTTCAGGAGTTTAATAGAACAGGGAATATTAATGTCAGGAAATTGCTCAGATGAAAGACTAAACCTCTCCTAGTCCACTATCTTGCTAGACTATGGGGGCAATTGGCCGACATAAGCCTGATAATATCCTGCATCAGTAAATTAGCACAACTCCTGGAGGCACAAGACATTAGACAATGCCCTGGAATACTATATCAACAAATGGTACCACTGTTCTGCAAGAGTGCCTGTTAAGAAGGCTGAAAAAAATATTTTACTACCTTTTCTGAAACGAGCATCTGAAAGCAACCAGTAATGAGCACTCTTGAGTAACACAAAAGTATATGGGTTAACCCTGAAATGCAACCATAAAGTCTTCCAATGAAGCATGTGCAAATTAGTCTGTAAGAAGCACCTTCGTCTTGGACATGTGCACACTCTGTTCGGAAGCTCCTACTTTCAAGATGATGTTGCTATCAAATTTCTTTACTTCTGTATCCAACAATCTTTGGCCTCTATCTGTACAATGAAACTGTACTATCCTCCTGAGCATTTCCCATTTCCTGCAACCTATTGATCCCTTTTCTTCCACCCCTTATACTTGTTCCCTTCCCATTCACACTGCAGACCTGCAGGCAGGGAGTTGCACAAGGAGACAATGGTTGGCCTTGTGGAGGAAGGCTGTTTTGAGACAGTACATCAAATCCTCCAAAACAGTCTGTGCTGATGCTTCTAAGGTAAGATAGTTCTCATTCTGAATTTATATACTTATTCTATAGTTTCACCCCTATCCACTCACTCCAGAAAATGCAAGGGAAAAAAGACAAACCATCTGTATTTCTAATAGTTCCCTGTTTTATTGCAATACATCAAAGTAGGTTAATATTAAGTGTTACCAACATAAAATATTGGTGGCCTGTCATTTATTACATCATTGACTGACCCACCTTAAATATTTCTGTGCAATAGAATCTACATCATTGTTCTGGAGCAGAGAATCTCTTACAATGTCCCCTACAACACTGAGGGCGTAAATCAAAAAATAAGAGAAGAGCGAGAAGAGGCAAAAAGCAGTGTCTTTCCCCACACGCACACTTGTCAGCTTTTATACTCTAAAACAAAACAAAAAAAGTGATTACATCTAGGCCATGCAAAACTGTACAATAATATTACAATGCAAAAAATCCCTAAAAATACCTTTTTTAAAAAATAAATGATATGAAACCATCATACATATAAAGGCAGGTTAAAATTGCTGTGAAATACCCCAAAACTGGTTTTTGGTTGTGGATTGCTTCCTCATGACTGAGGCAAGTCCTTGTGCAGGAAGGGAGTGTTTCCATAAAGAAAGACATGGTGGGTGACAAGTCGTGTGAAATTGCCTTAATGCACAACATGGTCTAAAAAGTTGAAAATCGACAGCATTTCTGATCTTTGAAGGCCCCCTTGTAGGCTTGGAGTTAGAAACACAGATCTATCTTCCACGAAAAGCCTGATAGTTGTAATGCTTCTGGGATGAAACCGGCTACTGCTCCAATAGCCTTCAGGCATGGTACCTACTTCCACTGAGCTCAACTTTGGACACAAGCCTCTCAATGACATTCACCCCAAGGCATGTGTGCTTCCTGAGGTCTCCAAGCAGGGCATCCATATATGGAACCCAGGTTATACAGAGGTTACTTTCACCCATGGTGAAATTTCCTAAGGCTAAAAAGGTCCTTGCAGCAGGCCAGATTTGGACTTTCCAATTTCTGACTTAATGACAGACCAGAAAAGGAAACTGAGGTACTGTAGCTGGGTTGCTGTTTCAACTCACTGCCTAAAAAGACACAGTTGTTTTTTCCACATTCAAGGTCATAAACCATCATTGTGAATTCAATCTCTCACCCAAACTCACATCACTACAGACCAAAAGCTCTGTTTGCACCAAGGATGCATCTGTGATTAATCCCATTCTCCAAATACATTATTGCATGTCATGGTTATCATGTGAAGACATCCTGCTACTTTCACATACCTGAGAGTTTAACAGAAATGTCATCTGTATTCCCCCAAACCAAAAGTCCTGTCCTAAAAAGACGCTGGTTAGGAACACAGAAGAATTGTCACACAAAACAATCTTTAGCCAGCTAACAAAATAATTCAGTAGATTTCTTTTAAAACAAAACAGGAATGAGGTTTGAAAAGGAAAATGAATGACATAGATAGGTGCTGTGTGTATGGTTCACTACAGAAATGCACAACGGAACCTGAGGCAAGACCTGTATACTTTGAAGATATTCTGCAATCAAAACCCAATTTATTGAGCCTCAAGAATAATGGGATAAGGAAGCGCTGAACGAACTCAAAGCAAATCTTTTCATTTAGGGAAAACATTGCTGTAAATTATGCACACAAACAGGGGTTAATTGAATGAGTTAGTATCCATTTAAGGGGTGCCAAAATGCTTGGAGAAATGCAGTCACATGAATGAGAACTGAGCAGTGCATGATAGCAAATCTCAAATTCACCAGCAACATGTATTGGAGGTATTAAAGCATCTGTATTGGGCATAGCTAGAAACAAGTATTCAGACCGTATCACAGTGTCTTGGAGCCTCCTAGGATGAAGGTATCACAGCAATAATCTGTGAAATGACTCAATAGTACATACTATGGAACCATTAGGGGGCTAATGTTTTTTGCAGTTGCTTCTTTTGAATTTATGTTTTGCCTAGAAAGGCAGGCACTGACTTAGTTGAAACTCTCAGGCGAAACACAGAGGAGCTGCCACAGACTGAGTGTGGATTTCCAAGAAACCTTTGGAAGTAGAAAATCACTTAGCCCACCTGAAGAACTTCAGGCCTTAAAAACCCTCCAATATGTGTGCATTTAATGACAGACCAGAAAAGGACTGTGTATAAAACACAACATGCTAAGCTCTTCAGCAGGGTGTTGAGGGTGGGCAGGAGCACCACAGGGAGGAAGAAGAGCACCTTGAAGCAGAACCTTTTGCTTGGTAGTGAATGTTAAAAGGAAAGCGTAGCCAATGAATTTCAGAATCCCTGTGCCCTGATAGCATCTGGCAGTCCAGTGGATCATGAAATTAGCTTATCAGGTATAACTGTTGTCATGAGATACAAAACAGAAACTGTAGTTTACACCTGTGACAACAAAACACACATCAGATTTAAAAATTTCGACAAGCCAAATTTGACAGACAGGATTAGGACACCACCACACTCCATAGAAACAGTTTGCATTCACCCCACCTGAAAGTTCTCCTCAGTATAAAATAGCTAAATGGTAACTTTGAATTTGGCAACCCACTCAATGCAGAAAAAAGACACAGAATCAGCCATCAGCAGACTAATACAACTATATGATAAAAGACGATGATCTGTATCACATAGTTCTAATGAAACTGTACCTTGCATGACTGCAGCTGACAATTTTCAAAGGGAACGTAGGCTACACCATTGGTTTTGTTGCTTAGCTTGCTGGTCAAAAAGATTTGGAATGGTTTGATAGCAGCCAGGAAGGGTTATCAAAATGCCATGGAATATTCTCCACTGAGTACACAACCATTCAATTCTTCATCAACTCGAACTTGATTCCGTCAAATGGCAGCGGTACTTCCAAGAAAAATCACATCAATCTACGGCAAATTGCACTCTCATCTTGCTCAAAAAGAAAGGGATGTGAAAGTTGACTTGGTTTTACTCTCTGTTTGCATGACACGTGTGTAACTGCTTATTTAATTACTGATGATCTTTAATGTCTGCTATCCAGAGATCAAGGTTTTATCCTGCCAAGTGTTTCTTTGCTGGTTCCAGTTATCATTTAACAGCAATAACATTACACACACATGGGAAGAAGACAGTAATGAAAATCTCCAGATAAGAAGTCTTGAACTACCAAGTATCCTCGCAAAGTATAAGTCTAACAACAGAATTTTTTTTAGGCAAGGGCAATCAGCAAGATATTTAAAACATTTTGCTTTAGAATAATTGTTGATTACATTTGGCTGATATAGTGAGTCCACCAAATGTGAACTAGATTTGCTGGTTGCTAAATGGCCAGAATGTCTTTAAAGCCCAGTTCCAACATTTTCCAACCTATCCACATTGACTTTGGCTATGTTTCCTCCACTGTTGCTTGGGGCTGAGTATGGATTTCTAAGCTAAACCATCCTTGAAATTGGTAAGAGGGAGGGGGGGGGTTGCTTGCAGAATGAACTAGATCAGACAAGAGGCAGAGATAATTTAAAAGTGAGGATTATGGCTTTAGTTCTACCGATGGGGAAAGAAATGTTACAGAGCACATTGTGCGGAAGGAGTCTTTCTCCAGGCTCTACGTTTTTATCCAGTGCCATATTGTATATCTAAATCAACTCTCAATCTGTAGATTACTTAGAATGAAAAAGGGAACAACACAAGTCTTCTTAAATTAAGGATCTCTTAAATAGGAACCCATTTTCTGCTGCATTACAATGCTTTTTCTTTTATTATATACATACGTACTAACTCTTAATTTTGCGTATTTACTTAAACTCTGTACTGTAGTAAAATATGCATCATTTTTTTAAAAAACCAATATGGATTTGCTGGCAACAATCAGACTGACATTCAAACGGAGTGATTGGCTGTAAGCATGTGTCTCTACCCTTTACAGGGTAGTTCTTGCCCCACTGCCAGAGATGGAGCGGTGTTGCTGCGCTACTTTTGGAAAAATATAATATGATACTGTGTGTCAAAGCAAAATCTACCTGTTTTTTCCCAATACATAATGTGTTTTAGTCAGTCTATACTACTGTGGATTTTTGAGTGGTGGTGTGACATGGAATATGTCCATAATAATAGAAACAGCTGTTATCCTATGAAATAAAATAGATACTAATACAAATATACCAATATTTCCCACATAACAGCCTGCCCAACTGCCCTCCACCAAGGTTTTCTCTTGCTCGCTGTTGTTACTGAATGAGGAAGGAGTGGAGATCTTATGCTGAGTGCGCCAGAGAAGGCAAACATATTCTCTTCCTTCCCTCCCATAGTTACTTTTAGGAGGAACGTTGCGGGATGATAGCAGTGAGAGCAAATGGAAAGTCAGGGGACAACAGGCTGCTGAGGTGTCAAGTCTGAATGCTGAAGCAGTTCAAGTGTCCCAACTCACATGGTCAGAGCTCTCTAAGGAGAGGCTCTTGGTCTTGTGAGGAGATATGGGGCTGGGAGGGCTGCTCAGGTTGGAGCTGTTAGAAGCTGTCGAATGCCTTGGAGAGTCAGAGTCCTGCAGCCCAAAAAATGCAAGAGAACATGTCAGTGAGCAAGGTCAAAAGGTCTAAAATGGGTTGGGGGTGAGAGGGGACAGGGAAGGGACCTGCACAATGGGAGCAAGAGGACAAAAGGTGTACAAATCAAGTGGAGGCATCTCCATGTCCGTCCCCTCCCTGCCACCCAATGTCTTAACATCACACCAAAAGTACAGACACCTGGACTTCTTTTAGAATCTATATTGACCCAAAAAGGTCTGGTTCAAGACTTGAGGGACAATAAAATCAAAACACAACAGAATAGAATTTGAATGAGAATGTTGTCAAGTTGTATTTATCCAAAAATTGGATTTCTTCATGAGTATGTTTTGTATGTCTAGGTAACTCCAGACCAACAATCTAGACTTCTGAGTGTATGTTGGAGCTGCTGATGCAAACTGGACAATATGACTAAGATATTTGTTGTTGTTCTTTTCCTCACCTGTTTGTCCTTTGTTTTTCCTTGGTTTTTATTTTATTTATTTTCATTTGTTTGCTTCATGGGTATCAGGAAAGTTGTGAATTGTTTTGTTTATGTAGGTGATTAGACAATATTTCTTCTGACACCAATAAGTACAATACAGTTAGTCCCCGGGTTACACACAAAACATGTTCTGTACTTTTGTTCTTAAGTTAAATTGTATGTAAGTCAGAACAGCCCCAGTCCAAGCTGCTGGCTGGTGTGCAAGGAGAGCACTGCAGCGGCAAAAAAGTGTCCTCTTTGGAAATTGGCCCAAAAAAGTGCACATTATACTTGCCGTGTGATTAGAACTCCTTGTTTAAAAACAAAATTGTTTGAGCACTAAAATTTCCAGCAATGGAAAGGAAAACCAGAGAAATAGGTAATCCTTCCCTCAAGGAGCATCTCCTGTTTCTCCTGCCTCAGCTTCCTTGAGGTGCATCTATGCTGTAGAATGAATGCAGTTTGATACCCTGCCCTGGCTCAATGCTATGCAATCCTGGGAACTGTAGTTTTACAAGGTCTTTAGCCTTCTCTGCCAAATAATGTTGCTGTCTAACCAAACTATAAAGCCCAGGATTGCACAGCATTGAGCCATGGCAATCTAAAGTACTGTTAGACATGAAGGAAAGGAGAGGAGGGTGGAGAGATACACGGAGGATGAAGGAAAGGGGTGAGGGGGAGATACACAGAGGATGAAGAAAAGAAGAAGAAAGAAAGAAGAAAGGGAGCTTGGAGAGATATTGATAGGAAGAAAGAAGAAAGGGGTTTTGGGGATATATTGTAAGGAAAAAGCAGGAAAGGGGGTGTGGAGAGATACCAATAGGAAGAAAAAGAAAAGAGGGCTTGGAGAGATACAGACACACTTTGACTCAACACTAAGATTTCATGGCAGAAGTGGTAGCTGTATGCATTGAGTGCCCTGTTCACAGAAGACATTGTCTGTGTCTTTGTGTGTTTTACTAAATTTTAGGTCTATCTTAACATTTTCTGGATATAAAGCTTTTCACATGCTCAACCAATATACCCAGTTATCATACACCTGTGAATGTTTGGTATTGAAGTGCAAGACATTTGGGTGGCACTAACTTGGGAAAGGCTCTTTTATGATGCAACAGGATAGTCCTCCCCTCCCCTCCCAATTTCACTCTTACTTGTACACTAATGTGGATGTTTTGTTTAGATTTATGTTATTATAGAATTTTGTCTGATTACATATATTTTAATTTATTGATGTCAGGTTTAATTTACTGATGTTAGGTCTTAATTTGATGTTAGGTTTTAATGTTACTTCTATATGTGGGGGTTTTCTGGGATTTTATGTTAGTATCATGTGTTTTATGTAGGCATTGAATGTTTGCCATTGTTATGCTGGAATCCGCCCTGACTCCCCTCGGGGAGATAGGGCGGAATACAAATCAAGTTTTTTATTTATTATTATTATTACTTTACTTATTCAAAGACACAGGTAGCAGCTGTCTGTGTATGGGAAATATCAGTCTACCACTAGGACAATGGAGGTCTTCCTTCTCTACATTCCAATCACATTTATCTCAAATATTTCGGCCATATTCCAAGGCTTTCTGTCACAGAAGTACTTGTGGATTTTGTTCTTGAGACCACTGAGCAGTGCAGAACTTCTGCTGGTCCATCTCATGCTCACTCCAGCATAGCTGATTGCTGAACTGGGACTAGTTCTAGTCTCCCCTCCCTTCCCCCCACCTTTTCTCCATTTCCTTCCTATGTTACAACCCACCTCTCTCTCATAGTCCCTCGCTGGCGCATCACTTCCTTGGTCCATTCCACCAGAAGACAAGGAGCCATCTGAAGGGGACGCCATGGGCTGACGTTTTGCTCCATAACTACCTCCTGATAATTCCCTCCGCAAAGCACTGCCATTTTGTGCAGATGATCCTAGAAAAGCATTTGGAAACATAGTTATGTAGCACACACAAAGGCATCAATAGCAGCATATTGTCTAGATCAGGCATGGGCAAACTATGGCCCTCCAGGTGTTTTGAACTTAAACTCCTACTGTTAGGGATGGTGGGATATGAAGTCCAAAACACCTGGAGGGCTGAAGTTTGCCCATGCATGGTCTAGAGAAAGGGAAGTCATAGTACCACTCTATCCAGCTTTGGTCAGATCTGACCTTGAATGCTGTGTCCTGTTCTCGGCCCCATAATTAAAGAATAATATTGGTAAATTGAGTGTTCAAAGGACATCCAGAACGCTAAAAGGTCTGGAAGCAAAGCTCCATGAGGAATGGCTGTGGGAACTGTGTATGTTTAGCTTGGAGAAAAGAAGTCTGAGGAGGGGGGGCCATGACAGCCATGTTTATATATTTGAAAAGATGCCACATAAGAGGAGGGGGCAGGATTGTTTTCTGCTATTCTGGATACTAGGACATGGAGGAAAGGATTGAAATTGCAAGAAAAGAGATTCTACATAAAACATTAGGAAGACCTTCCTGATGGTAAGAGCTGTTCAACTGTGGAATATGCTGCATGAGAGGGTGGTAGAGTCTCCTTCTCTGGAGGTTTTGGGAGTGCTTTGATTGTGTGTTCCTGCATGGCAGGGGTTAGACTGGATGGTACATGTGGTCTCTTCCAGCTCATCCACAAGTTTGTAATTATATTCTGTAGATCATCAAGAATGGACTCCTAGCTGTCAAATTCCCCTGTCATATTATCGTCTTCTTAATTAATTGACCAAATCATGTCCTCTTCAAACAAAAATCCCAGGCTGAAACCACCAGCTGGAATCCCTCAAGAGTTTCAATGAAGTCTCCTGTGCTTTGTATACATACAGAGTTGCCTTATAGATTCAAATATTTGGTCACTGTCACTGTTTTTAAAAGCAACGTTTATTCGTATTTTTTGATGAATGAATGTCTGAAATATCAAAGCAATTTGGATTTTTCAAAGTTAATAGCTATTGCATGGGATGAAATGCAGTCAGTTCCATTGGCAGAACAGCTTCCATTAGCAGAAAGGTATTTCTGATCACTTCTCCCTTTTGTAGCCCCTTGTAAAAGCTGCCCAATAGTGAACTGAGAAACCATTCAGAGAATTTTTTAGGCATCCCAGAGGTCCCTGAATGGAGAAGGGTGGGGAAGAAAGCCCAATTACACTAATGGATAAAAGCAGACTGACTTTTATTCTAATCCCCTCTAAGATACCAAGTATCACATTAAGTACTATATCCCCTTAGGCTTACATGCTGCTTAGTGTGATTTTGTTAATTGAATTTTGCAGATAGGGCTGACAGAAAAACAAATGTGCTGCTTTTTATTTGCGCTTTATTGCTGATTTTAAGACTGATGTGGTTTAATATTGACTTGGCTTTTTCAAATATTGTTCCAGAGGTAACTTTGAAAACTCTGGCTGAAACGCAGAAGGAGAAGTATTTCAATAAAGGCAACAATAAATATTCTAAAAATCCTTCTCCGTCTTTCTTATATTGAGTTCATACCAGATTTTGTTATGGTGTTTTTTGCCAACACAAAAAGGTATCATGCCAACAATGGAGAGTTTCAAAGGCGATGTTTTGATACAAACCTATGCCAAAAGTGAGCCACCTGTGCAAACAGAAATAGTTTCAGTGCACTGTGTTTTCCGATTAGCAGTACATAACAACTGACTCTCTACATGACTGACTGTTACATATTCATGATCCTTATGTAGACCCTAGTTTATAATATATAAAATAGGTATAAAAACCAAATATTTACTAATAATAAATTAGCATTTCAAGGTTTACTAAACAGTCTGATTCTCCTTTTTATGAGTCCACTGTAAACATTGCATGTTGTGGCTAACAGATATGTGGAAATGAGTGGTGTTCTGAAAATGATTACTGTTGCCAGATTTTTCGTGACTCCAACACTAAGCTAAAGGCTACAACACTAAGCTTGAGGTCAGGATCCACAGTTGAGGAAGCCCTGGTTTAGAGACCATGTAGGTATCATGAAGGTTCCCCAATTTCTATATACTAAATGGCAGAAGCTGACCTCAATGAGGACCTGTTTCCGTCACTCAAGAAGCAGCTGGCTGCTCTTCAGACTCTAATCACACAGTGGTGGAGCTCACTCACAGTAGAGGATGGAAACAACACTCAGATGCTTCCTAAGTGACAGTCCTCCATCAATAGTAGAGGTTGATTCCTATTAAATGATAGCTGGGGGGAATAGATGGACTGGGATGGGATTCACTACATAGTATTGTAACTGGTTATTACACATGCATAGGTCCCTTACAGAACTCCAGCCATTGGTCTTTGGTTATTCTTTGTTAAAATTCATTTTGCTAATCCCTAAAAGACATGTTCTTAACACTTTTTTTTCAAACAAGCTGTCAAATATATATACATAGTTACATATTTGTCTTTCAACATTATCAATACAAATGCCTGGCACAAGACAGAGGCCTAAAACTTACTTGCTGCTAATCCACTGCTAGCACTCATGGAACGTCCTGGTTCAGTGCGGGTTTTTGTGATTGATGGGATACTGACAGAACCACTGAACATGGTCCGACTTTCCTGAGGACGAAGGTTCTGCTAAAGAGAAGGGAAGAGGAACAGAAAAAAAAATCCCAAATTCATTTATAGCAGAAAGGTGGTTAGAAAACTACAGTGCCAAACAAAATGTTAACAATGACTTGACCTTCAAAGTTATCCAGATAGTAACTAGGCAAGTCTGCAAAGGTTAAGTTCTATAAATAAGCACAGTGAATGCTACAGTCAGCAGCGACTGCAAAGTGCTGAATTATAAATGGCCATAAGTAAACAACAGGTCAGACAATGTTAGGGGAACCTGAAACTCTTTTGACTGCTGTGATGGCTGCTATCCATATGATATCTGTGAATTTTTACTTGTGCACTTCAGGCAAGAACTAGTGAAACTACTGGCTTTCCCTAGTAAAAATACATTAATGTTTTCATTTGTTATGTATTTTTTCTGTTTCAATTCTCTCTCTCTTGCTCTCTCTCGCTCTCACTAAATATTAAACATCTTAGCTCTAAGGAACCTTTTGCAACACACTGATTAGGAAGAGCATATGCACTGAGGTCTTTTTCAGGATTCCCCTTTTAGAAAGTGGCTGGAATGATCATGAACAAATAATAAGACATTGTAACATCTTTTATTGAAGAATTATATTCAGCTGCATCTTGATTTGTCTACCAACACAGTTATAATACACTAGCTGTGCCCTGCCACGCGTTGCTGTGGCCTATAGTAAAACTTATCAAAGTTGAGGTAGATATCTGGACTATTATGAAAGAGAGGTCCCTACCTATTCCTTCCCCCTTTTCCTCCCCCTTTCTCTACTTTCTTCCTTCTCTACCTCTTTCTTTCTTTCCTTCTTTCACTACTTGGTTTCATCCTTCTCTCTTTCCTTCATTCCCTCCCCCTTTCTTCCTTTGCCTTTCTTCCCTCCCTGTTTGCTTCCTTCTTTCACTTTTTATTTCCTTTTATTTCACCACCATCATAACAATAACAATAATGCAATGCATTGCCTCTGGGACCTGACACCTCTCCCATTCCCCCTAAAAGGGTCTCATAGGAACAATAGCATAATAATAATAATAGAAATAACAACCTTTACCCGCCACGTGTTGCTGTGGCCAATCTTCCCTCTCTCTTTCCCTCCCTCCCTCCCTCCCTCCCTCCCTCCCTCCCTCCCTCCCCTTCCTTCCTTCCTTCCTTCCTTCCTTCCCATCTTTCCTTCTCCTCTTCTTTCTCTATCTCTTTCCTTCCTTCCCCCTTTTTCTTTCTCTTCTGCTGTCTCTCTTTTCTTTCCTTCCATCTTTCCTTTTCTTTCCTTTTCTTCTTCCTCTAACTTTCCTTCCTTCCCCCTTTTTCTTTACCTCCCTTTCTCTTTCTTCCTTCTTTCCTTCCTTCCTGTCTTTCCTAGATTTTGACAGGGCGGGAAGGGGCGGGGTGGGGTTTGGAGGTGGCCTGAAGTAAAAGGAGGTAAGATTGGGGCAGGGGAGTGATGGAGCGTGGGGTTGCGTGTGTGTGTGCGGCGGCGGGGGGAGTGATGGAGCCTGGGGTTACGTGTGTGTGTGCGGCGGCGGGGGGGGGTTGCGTGTGTGTGTGCGGCGGCGGGGGGTGGGGTTGCGTGTGTGTGTGCGGCGGCGGGGGGAGTGGGGTTGCATGTGTGTGCGGCGGGGGGGAGTGATGGAGCGTGGGGTTGCGTGTGTGTGTGCGGCAGGGTGTGTGTGTGTGCGGGAAGCGGCGCGGCGGGGCTTGGAGTGGGCATGGTTTCCGCAGAGGGAACGTTGGCCGGAAGGCCATGTGCGCGCGCGATGGAACTTGCGGCTGGGCGCCAATGCGCATGCTCAGTTGTTTTGCCGTTTTGTGAGTGTGTTGTGTTGTTTTTCATTTTGAGTAGATATGTTTGTACCTTGTGGGTTGTGTTATGGGCACGGGGATTTTAGTTAAGTTTCGTTGGGGGATTTTTGAGTTTTGTTGTTTTGCCGTTTTGTGAGTGTGTTGTTGTGTTGTTTTTCATTTTGAGTAGATATGTTTGTACCTTGTGGGGTGTGTTATGGGCATGGGAATTTTGGTTAAGTTTCGTTGGGGTTTTTTGAGTTTTGTTGTTTTGCCGTTTTGTGAGTGTGTTGTTGTGTTGTTTTTCATTTTGAGTAGATATGTTTGTACCTTGTGGGTTGTGTTATGGGCACGGGGATTTTGGTTAAGTTTCGTTGGGGGATTTTTGAGTTTTGTTGTTTTGCCGTTTTGTGAGTGTGTTGTTGTGTTGTTTTTCATTTTGAGTAGATATGTTTGTACCTTGTGGGTTGTGTTATGGGCATGGGAATTTTAGTTAAGTTTCGTTGGGGGATTTTTGAGTTTTGTTGTTTTGCCGTTTTGTGAGTGTGTTGTTGTGTTGTTTTTCATTTTGAGTAGATATGTTTGTACCTTGTGGGTTATGTTATGGGCATGGGAATTTTGGTTAAGTTTCTCGTGGGGGGGGTTGAGTTTTGTTGTTTTGCCGTTTTGTGAGTGTGTTGTTGTGTTGTTTTTCATTTTGAGTAGATATGTTTGTACCTTGTGGGTTGTGTTATGGGCATGGGAATTTTGGTTAAGTTTCGTTGGGGAATTTTTGAGTTTTGTTGTTTTGCCGTTTTGTGAGTGTGTTGTTGTGTTGTTTTTCATTTTGAGTAGATATGTTTGTACCTTGTGGGTTGTGTTATGGGCATGGGAATTTTGGTTAAGTTTCGTTGGGGGGTTTTTGAGTTTTGTTTCCTCGTTGGATGCCCCTAACAAATTTATATATATAGATTTATACAATACAGCACTTGCACACATGAAATTCCAGGAACTTCAACCATTTCAAGCTTTCAGCTTTGTCAGTCTCAGAAATATAAATAGAATCCATGAAGATGATTGGCCTTTTCTACAGAGCTCATCTAAATGTATCATTCCTGGATGGCATAGTATCTTTTAGGGATTTCTACCAGTCAGAGTTCTTTGCCAGGAACAGTTGAGGAGGTGATCTCTGATAGATCTTCCACAAAATGATCTTGTTTAGTTTTCATCTATTAAATCGTACATCTGTTTCCAGAACAGAGGTAGCCAATACCTAAGTAGTTGAGAACAGATGTAGCCAATACTTCTACAATCAGATGAAACAGATCTGAAAACCACAATCAATAAACAAGGGATGGACAATGGTCAGGGGTTACAGGGCCAATTTATATCCCAATGGTACTTTTGAGAACTACCCCCTGCTCTGCCTCAAACCCATAATTTTAAACAAATGCCCTGACATTAATATGACTAAAATGCTACTGAACTGCTTAAGGGGGAACTAGAGGTAATTTTTGATCTATTGGGTCATTTTTGTCTCCCTCAGAATATTTATGGTTGAGGGGGCTTTTAAAATGAAGGCATGAATCAGAAAGATCTCCCCAAGACCTAACACGGGTACAGTTTTTTTAATTTGCTAAACAAGGCAGTTTCGCCCAAAACTGGATGCTGGATGGCCCAAAAATGGCCTTAGGAACTGCATGTGACCAGTAGGCATGTGACCAGTAGGCATACATTTATAATGCTACTTGGGTTAAATGAGAACTATTTTAGCGTTGCTGTCCATCCAATTATTATTTTCCTCCTCAAAGAAATAGTTTTGTTTCCCTCTCCCCTTAAATCCGTGAACAAACCCTTGCACATAGGTATGGTTAATGAGAACCAAAAATAACAAATATATAACAAGTGAACATTTCAAACATTCATGACAGTAGTTCAAAAGCATGAAATGACAGCAAAACCTAACTGCAGTGTTTCATTATAGACCATGTAATTTATAACCAGTTTACAACCACAGAAATAAAGAATCCACAATCAAACCAAATACATTTCAATATGTAGAAGAAATGTATTTATCAAATTATTATCACAATTTATACCCTTTCTATCAACAGCATTTAAATACCTTTCTGAAAGGTTTGAGCGTAACTGATTGAGCAGGAGTAGAAACACCAATCATTATTTTTGCAGCAAAAAGGGAAGTTCTGATTATTTATTTAGAACCCAACAAATAGGTGATAATTTATTGGAAAATAGTTTCATTTTGGTTTAGGGAAACAAATAGTCTTGAGTCCTTGGAGAATTTGCAATAAAACTAACTGACAGGTGTATCTGATACAATAAATGAGAGAGTACAGACATGTTAACAAAGCTGGAGCCACTTGCCTGGCTTTAGCTATGTGTTCAGGATTGCAGAGATTCAAGGGATGTCTCTCTTTTAGTTCACCTCGCCCCCATTCTGTGAATTTCTTAACTTGTGGTGAGAAGATCCCAAAGAGGAAAGCATTGTATCCCAATGTTGTTGGGCCATAATGCTGAGCTTCCCACAGAATCTTCCCTTGCTGTGTTCAATGAGATGGGTGCTGAGTCTCACGAAGTCTTGGCATGGAGCAACAGGCTCCCCATAATCATCGATAAGATCCTGAAAGGTTATCAAGAACTTCTTGGGTGTATCACTGAGCTTCCTGGGTAAAATCTGTTGTTGTAGTATTTTCATGAATGCAGATCTGGATATTTCAGCCTCAAGCTCCATTTCATAAAGAATTCCTACAACTCTCCCGATGGCTGTCTTGTCATTTTAGACCCTTGGTATGGGTTTCCCAGTACACCTTCTTATATGAGAACATAGTTCCCACAACAATAGCTTCAGCACAGTTTATTTAAAAGCATTAGGAAAGAACAAAGGCATAATGCAATAAAATAGGCAGCCAGAGCAGAATCACAGCAGATTACCAGTAGCAAAGCCTTCCAGGCTGGAGCAAACCACCTCTAGCATCTCATTCCTATTTATTTTGGAACATAATACCACATTCCTATTGGTTAGACCCCATAACTTATTTTGCCTTGGACACAAATAATCAAATTTCTCCATTCCCTCTGTGATTCCTATTTTCCAGGGAACCCTAAAACAGCCCTCATTTCCATCCAAATGAGTTGACTGACCTCAGTGGATGAGGCAATAGTGGAGAAGCCAGTGCCGTATCTCAAGAACTCTTGAGGCATGACACCTGCCATCTCATAATGTGCTGATTTGCAAGGTCCTTTAGAATGGAGAATTCATTGACAGCATGAAGGAAGCCAGCATGCGTGGCTCTTGTCTAAAAGCTTTGGGGGAGGTTAGGAGAGATAGTTAGAATCTCAAAAAATTGAGGGAAATTGTTAGGAGCATCTATACTGATAGAAACCTGACCTTACTTAGTAGAAATCTCCCTCTGTGTCTAGAGACCTCTTTTTCAGAGATCAGGAAAAGTAGATGTTGGAACAGAAAAAAGCAAAAATATATGGAGGCAAGCAAAACCAACTGCAAAACTCAAATCTCTTCAAATATTAGCCAGGCACAAAAAAGGGAAAAAAGGGTGGGAGGGGGGAAGGAAGAAGAATAACACCACACACTGTTAGTAGCAGGAACACCTGGCTGAGCAGCTCATACCCTTAGATTCATAAAGGCTGGTGTATGAGGGAGAAAGCGTAGAGATGGGGGATATGCAGGGTTTACGGAATCATGGGAGAGGAAATTTTCAGCTGAATTAACAGTCATGTGATAGATGTGCTCGAAGTTGCTTGGAGAAGAGATGAGACAGGAGTGATGATGAGGGGATGGAGAAAGGGGGGCTGGCTATCAAAGACAACAGAAAGAGACAGAAACAGAAAGAAAGAGAGAATAGTGAGGGATATCACTTGTGATGTCAGGAATACAAATTATGGACCATGTGACCTCTAAAAGTGACAGGAGAAAATCAACAGGCATATCAGTTGCATATTATGTAAGCCATTTCCAGAGGCTCATATGTAGTTTTCTGCTTATCACCAGGATGAAATAACTGACTGAAAAGGGAATGGCATGGTGTTTGAAATCTCTACAGTGTCACCAGAACTTTGAGTAGCGCAGATAAGCTCAGGCTGCAGAAATTTTGTTTTCACATCTCCACATCCAAACAGAGGAAAGACTAATACTGGTTTAGTTCAAAAAATGTACAGCTTATGAAGATATTGTTGTGCAGCAAACAGAATCCTTTAGACTGGATATGAACCCACTGGAAAATATGATATAAATCCAGTTGGTAAAGTTCATGTGTGGCTCTGTTGCCTATGTGGTTGGATATAATCTTCCAGTACATTTAGGTCGCTTAACAAGTCTATACAGAAGTGTCTATCCATAAGGCATCAAATGACTGCCTGGTTGTAAGCTGCCTTGAGTCACCTTTGGGTTCGAGAAAGGCGGGATAGAAATATTGTAAATAATAAAAAAAAGGAAAAGTGTAATTTACAATGTAAAATCAATCCAGTTTTCACTCACAAAAGTCTAGCGACATACTGCCATAAATGATGTGTATGATGAAACAGTGACTTTACAAAAGCATACTGTACTGAGGGGCTACTTTGGAACAGTTTTTATCTGGATAGAAAATCTGGTCTTTTCAAAAATATATTTACACTCACATGAAGTAGACGACTGTATTAAATATAGTTTCAGAAAATATAATTTGTTTTATTTTATGTTGACTACCCCATCTAGTGGCAGAAGATGTTCAGGCAGTTTTGTTTTTGGAACAAGACTGTATTTCAAGAGTATCTTAGAAAAATTAACTTCAATATACCTATTAGTAATTTTTAAAAGAGAAAAGAGAGGAATTAAGAGGACTTTTCATTGTTTCTTCTTCTTCTTCTTATAAACACAATTCCCACCCCAAAACAGTGCTCATCCATTGGACACACAGTCCCACCACTGGAAAATGTTTCAAAATCGTGTCTTTAATTATATACCCCCACCCAGCAACTTTGGGATCTTTGTATTAATAAATCAAAGTCAAATATCTGTCTGCACACTGATTATCTTATTTTAAGAATAAACATGTTCTTAGAATATTCTCCTTCCTAACATGGACAACAAAAGGGGTGAGGTATAGAAAATCAACTCTAAATTTTTGTAAAGACTTTACTGAAGAACTGTTATAACTTTCACATTTGAGATATGGGAAGCCTCCACTTTACCTTACATTGATATCAATATTTTAGCTTTTTAAAGAGTGTCTTCTCACAATGCTGGTTCAATGAAATCACTGTTCGGTTAGATGCAGATATTTACAATAAGAAAATGGATTGTAACAAGGATTGCATGATCAATCAGAGTACACCATATTACACTATTATCATATATCAAGTTCCTTACATGGTGCATGAAGGCAAGTATCCTGTATATTTGTGTATACGTTTAACTCATCAAGGGTAGGTTTTGGGACCAAAATTATTGATTTTGATATCACTTGTAGATAAGAGTCCTTCTGCAGAGATGAAAGCACCAGCGCCTCCTCAAATGGCCAGCTACACAAGGCTGCCATCACTGCCATTATCCAACCCATGTATTCAAAAGGCTTTCTGCCACTCTACCCAGAGAAGGGGATGCTTTGGTAAAAGCTAAGTTGCAGTATTAATTCTTATATAAAAAAGAGCCACCCCTTTCTCTGAGCAGAGTAGTGAATGTCATTGCTGTTGTTGTTGTTGTTATTATTATTATTATTATTATTATTATTATTATTATAACACAAAAACACAGTATGTCACAGCAAATGAGATCAATATGCTGGATTTCGTATCACAAAATCACAAGTTGAACACTTCCCAAGCATATTATTATTATTATTATTATTATTATTATTATTATTATTATTAGAGCCCCAAAGGGGACTCAAAGCGGCTTAACATAAAAGCATTAATATAAACTTTAAAATACACACAAATGGAAACATTAAAATATAAACAAACACTAGAAGCATTAAAAATTCAGTGAAAATTAATCAAAACAGTTATAAAACACAGTACCCCCTGACTAGCTCTCAGACATCTTCATCTTTAAAAGCCTGCCTAAATAAAAAGGTTTTAGCCCATTGCCTGAAAGACAGCAATGAGGGGGGCCTTCTGGCTTCCCTGGGCAAGGGGTTCTAGAGTAGAGGGGCATCCACTGAAAAGGTCCGCTCTCTGGTTCTCATCAACCGTGCTTGAGGTGGAAATGAAACTGAGAGAAGGGCCTGTCCTAAAGATCTCAGGACTTGGGTAGGTTCGTACAAGGGGATACGGTCAGACAAATAGTCTAGACCCGAACTGTCTAGGGCTTTAAAGATCATAACCAGCACTTTGAATTGTGCCTGGTAACAGACTGGCAGCCAGTGGAGCTGCTGCAACAGGAGAGTTGTCCGCTCCCTGTAGCCAGCCCCAGTCAGCAACCTGGCTGCAGCTCTTTGGACCAGCTGAAGTTTCCGAGCACTCTTCAGATGCAGTCCCATGTAGAGTGAGTTACAGTAATCCAGACGGATGTAACTGAGGCATGTATCACCGTAGCCCTACCCGACTTCTCAAGGAATGGGCCAAGTTGGAACACAAGTTTTAATTATGCAAAGGCCCTCCTGGCCACCGCAGATATCTGGGCCTCCAGGTTCAGCGATGGGTCCAAGAGGATCCCCAAACTGCAAACCTCTGTCTTCAGGGGGAGTTTAACCTCATTCAGCACAGGCTGAATCCCTATTTCCTGGCCTGCCTTCCGACTGACCAGAGTACCTCTGTCTTGTCTGGATTAAGTTTCAATTTGTTTGCCCTCATGAGCTTAGTTTGTTTTAGGTTCAGGAAAACCTGAAAAGAAGAACTGACCCTTACCTCTACTGGAGCACCACTTCTGGCCTTTAGGAAAATTGTGGTGGTGATGGATCTTTACTGCTTCCCCTCAAAGGACTACTGAGAGATCAGAAGAGGTTGGTGCTTTTAGGTTTTCCTGGGACAATCTAAGTTTTGCCTTCTGCCACTCTAATCAGAGAAGGAGATGGTTCCTTTTCTTTTTCAATAATAGTCAAGGCACAAATTATTTTTAAAGTGAATGCCATCTAATTTCCAAAGGTAACTGTTACATATACATTGCTTAACTTATAAAAATTATGCTAATGAAACTGGTTGTGTTTTCTTAGCCACTGAAACTGTGCACTTTATTTCTGAAAATGTTTTATTGAATTTGTTTGTTATAGATTCACAAACAGCTGGAGAATATACACTGTAATAGTCTATCTAGTTTACTATTCATGTAAGACTACTTTGCTTAAAAGCTACAGCTACAAAGTATACTATTACAAACTGTGTTGATCTTTTCTATTATTTTTCCTATTATTTTATTGTTTTGGAAAACATGTGATTCATGTTTGTTAATTTTTTTGAATGGAGTATTTTGACATTGATTAAAATAATTTTTGCACCTAGACATTATTTTTATTTTCCCTCCATGCATCCCAAGAAATCTCAATACTATATTTTGTTAATTTGTATGAATATATAATTTTCTTCATTTGAGTATGTTTGTTTGATACCTTCCCTTCTGTTATTGTTTGAGTCCTTCTGAGAACTAACGTGGCAGCCCTTGCGACTGACTATAACAGGGCAAAGACTTCAGAATTAGAGAATTATGAAAACATGAGAATTATGTCCAACAGTGTGGCATATCTGAGGTTATCACGTTACAAGACTACTGAAAAGGATCATCCTTTATATAGGTAAGCATGAGGTTGTGTATTTAGGTAACTTTGGTAGTTCAAACAAGAGGGGTAAATTATTGTTTAGCAACCACTTGGACCCATTCTTTCTGTTTCTTCTCCGATAGTTCAAATAAGGTGGAAAAAAGAACATGAAACCAGATTGATTTTGCTGTATTCTACCAAAGAGAACACCAGATAATAAGAAAATCTGCAGAAGAAACAAATAACTAATGGGAAAAATGTCAGAGTTAGAACACTTGTTAGAACACAGATAGAAGCCTTTTGATGGCTTGATAAATTCACAGCGCATAGCGGCTACTAGCTTTGATGGCTATATGCTACTGCCAGCTAGAATTCTTTTCCTTAACATGTGCTAAGGAAGACCTTTATCTGAGAACCAGCAAGAACAGACATTGCTGAGCAAGACAGGACAATTACCTGGCAAAATATAAGACAGCCTTTGCTTGAATCTCACCAAAAAACCAGAGTCCTTAACAATCTATAGTACAATCTGAAATTGAAATGCTCACTTTATTTTCTTTGCATATATGCTACTTGCTGTTGCGGTTATGCTCTTGTACACTTACCATAGGCAGGTCTTTGAGGATCTGTATACCATCTCCTGGGCCCATGTGTGCTATATGGTTAAAGTTGGTTGGATTAGAAATTAATCTATTTCTCATTTCTGGATCTCGTAGCATTTCCCTGCAAGAGAAGATATTCAAGTCAGATATTTTGGTTTTTTAATATATTTTGTTTGTTTCTAATGAAATGTCTCTTTTATTTCATTTTATATGAGTTACTCTAAAACATAAATCAGTAAGGCAAACTTTTGGCCAAATGTAAAAGGAGGAAAACTTCTGATGTCTGAGGCTGATCCTATGCCAGTCTGATGAAAAGGGAAAGGGTGAGAAAGATTTGGCTTCAGTGCTTAACAGCCTGTGCCTTGTTAAAAGTCCATATGGATACTGAGACTCAGAGTGCATTAGGAGAGGGAGTTGACACAAGATTCAACAAAAGTTGTAGAAGCAGGCGCAGTGATGCTCTGGTGCTGCAAAGATGGAGGCAGAGATGAAGGACAGAAGAAAAAGAAGAATTAGAAGAATATTGCACTTCCCTTCACATTTCACTCTCACAATAATTGTAAAAGCAGGTAGAGAAAAGTTCCAACATGGTACAATGCAATTTTTAAAAAGGGTTCTCAGCATTTTTGAGAGACAGGAGGCATAGAACTCTGGTTCTTAAGCTTAATACTCTTAAGAGCTGAATAGAAAGAAGAATAGATCACCTGGCAGAATCACCAGGAAAAAGGCTGGTATGCTGGAAAGAAGTAGCTCCAGTTTTTGAATGTGTGAGGTTCATTTGCAGACTGTTGTGTACAAACACTGAAGAAAAGAATGGCTAGAAACAGTGGAATATTTGACCTGTGCTAATTGATATTTTTCTCTTTCAGTCATAATAATTCTGAATATTTTCATACACTATGAAACACCAAGGTGAGTCTCTTGTTACATGAATGTTGACAAGGCTTGAAAACTATGTGAGAATTAGATTACAAAGACGAGACCCCTAACATCAGAATTTTGGAATACGTTACAGAGAATGGAATGAAAATGACCCAAGAAGTAGAGTATCAATACTAGACTCTGGAAATAATATGTATGCCTCATTAGCAATGTGATCCTCTTTTGTAAAACTTTATTATCAATCTTTAATATATACAACATATGCACACACACACACAAATGTACATATATACAACACGTGGAGGCATGCATTCCAAATTACAATAATTGTTTCATACAAATATTTGATTTAAAACGGATTTAAATATTCAGATGGGCATTTATACAAATTATATATAAAAATAAATGTAAGGAGACAGAGAGACAAAAGGCTAAACATGGGGCTCAGGAACTGTTTTCTAATAAACGAAACCATGCCGACAGTGGACAAACATATCTTCAGGGCCTACAGGCATGTACAGAGGACAAATACAGGTTGAATACCGACCTCCTCTGCTGCATCCTTTCCTCCTCAGGCACTCTAAAGGAATAACGCCGTTTATTGTTGATATTTCGGACCATTTGCTTCCGGCTGTTATCTGATGTTTCAGGAACCACCAGCTCATCACCCTCTAGTGAAACATAAAAAGAGCCCCATAGGTCCCCAATTAAATACTGAAGAAAATGTTTTAAAACACGTATATTAAGCTGTGTATTTTTCTTATGCCGTAGGGTTATCAACAGAGCCTTTGGGAAATTATATCAAACTAATGCATAAATAAAATATGAAGACTAAATCAGAAAACCCGAGCTCTGTTGCTATAGCTGCAATCTGACACTAATTACACCTTATGCAAACATGTCTGAGCAGCTTTGAGTCTCCGAATGGAGAGAAAAAGTGGGATATAAATAAATATAATACTAATAAATAATAATAATAATAATAAACCGCAATGCTAATGCCTTATGGTTCAAAAAGAAAAACAGCTGCTACAGGGAAATAATAATGATGGAAGGATGCAATCAGACTCATCTCTGCCTTATTTGTGCACTCCAAACTGCCCTTCCCTAGTGTTTTTTATCCTATGAGGCTCAAGTGAATGTTTACTTGAGGGGTGATTTGAATGCAATATTCCTGCTTCTTGGCAGGGACTTGGACTGGATGGCCCATGAGGTCTCTTCCAACTCTTTGATTCTATGATTTACTTTACTAATTTTTTTAAAAAGGGAAAGGTTAAGCTAAGTGATAGAAACTTGCTACAAGAGTTGATTCATAACATTTGCTACCTGAGGAAAAAGATCCAAGTAGCACATTTCCTTTGTCCTGACACAACTTACAGACGTTATCATTTGTTCTTTAAAACCACTTTGTAAATGCTGCCTTACCCTTTCCCAGAAGTTTGGTTTTGTACAGTCATTACTCATTCGCTAGGACCATACATTAAGTCACACATTGAGTAGAAAATTAAACCTGGACTGTTGAAATTTTCCACATTACCATCACACATATACACAGATGCATATATTTAATTAACATCTCTAATATGAAGGGAATCTCAAAGGCACTTAAAGCTGTAGGGCCAAATTTGGATTGTAACAAATGTTTGTCCATACTAACTAAAGATGACATGCTAAAACCCCAGAATGTCCTCAAACCATTATCTATTGCCACCTTATTTTTCTAGACTGAAAACAATAGTTCACAATGGATTATAACAATATATATTTCTGTTGTACATTTAAACTTACCAGCCATTTTGTTTTTGAAATATATTAATCTAACTGTTTCCAGACCTAGGACATTTAGTGATCCTTCCATGTTCAAAGGGCGTACCTGAAAGCACATAAGTTAGAAAATTAAGACTGCTTCCTTTTTTCCTTTTTTAGGATTGAAAAATTGATATTGTTCACTCTGTCTTCGATTATAAGCACATGACAACAGATGATTTGAAAGGTTAATTACAGATGTGAAATGGTGGAAGTTGTAGATAGTGCAATGAATATTCAAAGCAATGGACTGTACCTTGAAACAACTGTTTATACATGATATTCATATTTTCATATGGTGATATGGTATACTAACATAAATCTGTAATAATCATAGTTAATAAATATCAATTCTAACAATACTCTTGTCATCTGAAAGAGAGATACTATACCTATTTGATAAGCCAATTTTAAATATTACCCAGGCTTTTTCTAATAGATTTGTTTAGTGCCATTAATGCCTTGGTCTAATGCTTAATTTGCAATATAATTTTGCTTGTTATAGTGTGGTTTCCACCCCCCTCCCCCACTTTTGTGGCGTGGGGCATGGGCCCTGGATCTGGCTTGGTATCCCCCCAGCGGAAGGGGGGAACGGCTGGTGGTCCCAGGGGTGCCGAGTTTACGTTGGCACGGTATTGTGCTGGCGGCACCCTGGCATTTTGTGGTATCGGGCAGCAGTGGGCTGCCTAATCTTAATCCAGGACCCATGCATGGCTGCCAACCCCTGTTCCTGTTATCAATAAATGAGCTGTGACCATTGTTTATCCCAACAACCTGTGTGAGTGTATTTCTCGTGTTGGCGGTGGGAGGTGTATCGCCCTTGCACACGCAAACTATACCTATTTGATAAGCCAATTTTAAATATTACCCAGGTTTTTCTAATAGATTTGCTTAGTGCCATTAATGCCTTGGTCTAATGCTTAATTTGCAATATAATTTTGCTTGTTACCTTCTTTAGGGGGATAGTCTGAATCCATTCCATGGAATTCACATCAAATATATCAACTGCATTTTCACTGTACACTGAGAGGTATGGTGCATTATAACCTGGAAAGAAGTTAAAATTCATCTCTGAGAAATTTGACAAGTTATGTTGAAGATAAAGAGATAGCCATTTTTAAGGAGCAAATGTTCTCCAATTAAACTTGAAACAGATGGAACAGCTTTAATTTTAATGCATTTACCAACTTTCTAATTATTATTCACAAGTGATAACTCATATACCAACAAGCTAACTGAAATATAAACCAATTTAGTCTATTTTACAAAATTATTTATTATCTGCTTTTCACTGTCTTAACACTTGAGGCACGATCCAGTGCTGGCCATTCACAAATGGAGAAGCTAAATCCAGCGGATAGGACAATCTATTCATTTATTTTATATAATGTATTTACATAACATTTAAAACATAGTTGAATATAGTAATTTCAAATGTTCAGACCAGCACAGCTTCATCTGCCAGTTGTAACGTCAAAACAGATGGAGGCTACACACCATATATACTCGAATATAAGCCGAGGTTTTCAGCCTTTTTATACTGAAAATGCCCCCTTCGTCAAAGTTATTTATTATTTTATTGGGTTATTCTTCTTCTTCTATTTATTATTATTATTATTATTATTATTATTATTATTATTATTACATTTCCATTATTTTACTCTATTCTTTTTATTAAATTTATTATTTTACTCTATTATTATTATTACATTTATTATTACACTTTATTATTATTGTTATTATTATTACGTTTATTATTTTACTCTATTATTATTATTTTATTACATGTATTATTTTACTCTTGAAGAAGGTTAGAATAATGGTTTAATCAGAGTTGGAGAGTCTTATCTTAAATTACAGTTTTATGTAAATATTCAAAAACATTTGTATTGTCAAAGGCTTTCATGGCCAGAATCTCTGAGTTGTTGTGAGTTGGGCTACATGGCCATGTTCCAGAAGCATTCCCTCCTGATATTTTGCATCTATGGCAGGCATCCTCAGAGGTTGTGATTTAAAAACATTTAACCTACTGATGCCTCAATTAATGTAATTTTACTGGTATCTAGTTTTATTTTGAAATTTACAAGTAGCTGTTGCATTTTCCACCCTTGGCTTATATGTTTTTCCAGTTTTTTGTTGTAAAATTAGGTGACTTGGCTTATATTTATGTCGGCTGATACTCAAGTATATATGGTATCTTTCCTTGGCAGGAAGTTTTACAATTGGGGTGCTGCTCAAGAGGAAGCTCTCATTAATATCAATCTAATCATCCAAAGTGCTGGGACATTCAATAGGGATTTCTGTTAGATCTCAAATTTGAGGCACTCCTATGTGAAGAGGCAATCCATTTGTTGGGAAACTCTGGAAGTGGTTTCTGGGCTGCTCAAAGGGATAAAAGGGAAGGAGAAGGGAAGAAAGCGCCACTGCACTGGTTCTTCAGTGTCAGCACCATGTTCAACTTAAAGTCTATATACACTGACTAGATAAGTTTTAAAACCAGTATTTTATTGCTGGTTATAAACTAAGAATAATTTATTACAACTGGGAAAAATAATTTTAATCATTTTACTTCTAGCTTAATATTCCTGCAACTTTCCAGATTCTGGTGACATTTGGAATAAGTGACTATCCAGAGATGGGGCGGCAAGAAAGTGAATTTCTCAGGTTTTGAGAAACCACAGATGTTTAAAATACTTTAAAATAAGAAAAAGGGAATCTACTTTTGTAGAAGTAATAAAGGAAGGTATAATTAATGTTGTCTGGCCTTTTTTGGGGAGGAGGGGGGTATAATACTAATGAGAAATAGACATGCTATGAATAGAATATCTTTTTGAACAACAGAGTATCTTTAATACGAGTGGTACCTGATTACTTTTATCCCTAATCATATTTAGCATCATTGAATCAAAAACAAATAAACAATGTAACCTCTTGGTTGTATTGTGCTATATAAAAAGCATTAAATGTAGTTTTCTTCTAAGAAGTGAAATGAAATCTGAGACTACACTGAATTAATGCAATGGTAGGAACTCACAGGAAGAGGAAGGAGTTGCAGGCCACATCAATTCCTGTTGCCTTGACCTTCGACCTTGGCAGTCTACATAAACCCCCACGCTGCTAAAACACAGCAGATATTCCTTATTTGAGATTTCAACTGCACAGATGGCATCCGTTGGCTGTTGTGCAATGAATGACAGTGTGTGATCATCCGGATGAAGTAAACTGTGTGCGTTTCCTTCTCCATGCAAAGGGTACTTTAGGAATCCTGATTGGTAGCCTACACAAAGCCGCTCACTAAAGATCGCCATCCACTGGACATTGCCGGCCACTTGGATCTCTTTAATCTTTTTGTGACGTGCTTTGCTGTGGTTCAGTTCATAGCAAAGGACCTGTCTTTTCATTGCCACACACAAGCAAGTAAGGGCTCCATGGCGTACTTGTCCAGAAACTATAGTCTGGCAACCTTTTGTCTCTGCTAGTTTATAAAATTCAGTTTCTCGTCCATCCAAGGCTGTCATTGGGAATAGCCGCACGTGACGATTTCGTCCTGAGATCACTGCGATAAGCTGTTCATTTGGAATAAGCTCAATCTGATGAACTTTCTTGTTGTCACCAACACGGATTATCTCTGCAAAAATAAAAACACAGGTAGTGTGCATCCATGCTACTGATGTGCAAGCAAGTAATATGATGAAGAAACTATTATACTGTACCAACACACTGACATTTACCATCTATCTTAAAATATAAAGAGTGAATCAGTGTTCTCTTGCTAACAACTGTTTGCCATCCTGTGTATATCCTTGTTTTGCTACAAAGCATGAATAGAGTCTCAACATTTTCCTGGGGGAAGCAACCTCTGCCCTTCTGCACCTTCTGTACCAGATTAATTCTACTATCTTCCCTCCCTTCTCATTTTCTCGTACCCAGATCTGTCTTCTATCTTCTTTCAGGGTAAGCACATTATGAATTATCTCATTTCTATGAAATGAACAATGCTTCTGTGAAAATGGAGAGTTAGTTTCCGCAGATTTAGACCTAATGACAATGGAAAAAGCAGGCACTGCTTGTATATTACAACAACTACAGAGATGGTTAATATAATTTCTTATATAATTGTATAAGAGGCACTAGCTACCATAGTGGCTGGCTTTATTGAAACTGATTTTCATTTCAGTTAATTGTACTGAATGGGACCATGCACAAGACAAAAAGTGGAGTTCAATCTGCCAACATAACTCAGATTGAAATCATTTGGATAGGTAGAAAAAAGAAAGAACAGTTTGAACAGAGAAATGTGGTACGGACATCATTTATTAAAAATAATCTTAGAAACTTAAAAAAACGAGCTAGAAGGAGTAGAACACAATGTGCAGTTTATTATTTCAACTATCCACATTACAAATATTAGCCAAGCTCTCTTACCATCTTTGGTGACATGAACCATAAATAACCCTTCTTCATTGCCCAGAGCTATTCTTTCATGATCTGTTAAGAGTAAAAAAGAAAATGGAAAAATATCTAACTAGACCTGTATGCCATTGTTTCTAACAATGATATATTTTATTAAACAAATATTAACCAAAACAGGTACAGCAAGATGTTGAGCTACAAATTAGTAGAAACCAGAAATGACAGAACCTTAAGAATGAATTCCACATCCTTGAATTCCTAATATATCTTCCTTCTTTCAGTCCATATTAAGTAACAAAGTTTCAGCATCAATAGTATCTTCCACTTCCACCTAAAATACTTATCAACATGCTGTGTCAATCTTAGCCATTTAGGATGCAATCCCATTGGAAAGGTGTAGTAATCATCAAAAGGCAGGCAGGGATGGGACATTCTGGTTCCTCTTGGCAAAGGAGTCCCAAAGTTAGGAAGCCACACCGAAAAGGCTACAGACTGCAGACAACTATCACTATAGGTTAGTGAATACTTACCTATGATTGCTGCTGCCTGGGTGGTTTTAATGAGAGGCAAAGTGCTATCATAGGCTTCTTTGGGAGCATAGACTGAGCGATCTTTGAGCTTGTTCTTCTTTAAAATCCTGTGCAATTCATTTAGGACTCCTACCCATTTGCTCTTTTCATTCTCACTGTCAGCTAGGATCAGGATTGAACACTTGTTACTGGATGCTGACAGTTGGGAGGCTGTAACCTGGAAAAGTGATAGACATGTGGTATGTTTGTTTGTTTATTTATTTATTTATCATACTTGTATCCCACCTTGAGTCCCCGAAGGGGACTCAAGGTGGCCTTACAAATATCAATGGATAAACAAAACATTAAAACCATTCAATTAAAACATGACATTAAAACAACAATTAAAATCATGTTTGTGTATGATGTGACAGAAGCATGCTTCGAAAGAAAGACAGACTATACATTTTCTAAATAAATTTAAAAGGAACAGATTCCATGGCCTTTATGATACAAAAGATGCCCTTCATTTAACTACTACATACAATTTGAAAAAATATATTTGTAGCCAGTTTTTTTCTTTTTTACAATATTCTCATTTCAAGTTCAACTACTGAGATCTAGTGTTGTTTACAGCTGGTGGAGTACCAAATGTGTCATGGGAAGATCAGGTTAAAATCTTTATTTTCCCAACAGTATCTATTGAGGATAATATAGGGCCACACAATCTCTCTTATACTGATGTAATTCAGCAGAGGTGTGAGGATGAAATGGTCTCTGGAAAATCATATATAATACTGCCTTAAGATCCTTGGGGAAAAAGAAAAGATAAAATCTAACTGAAAATTAAAACAAAATTTCAGGCTATCAGGAAAACGAATGTGTTTAGGAGTGGCATGTTTATGCCCTATATACAATGATAGTATAAACCTGAAAGCAGAACCATGAAACTTAAATCACTATTTTCAATCTGATGACCATGCTTTCAATGCACTTTCAATTAAAACTATCTACTCATTTCTATTATATGCAGCATAATTTATCTGAAAGGTTATGTTTTATTTAATTTTAAGTGTCATGTTATAATGTGTTTTATATGTTGGGTTATTTTGCATTATTATGTTTGTATTTGTTGTTGTATTGCAGCATTGAAAGTTTGCCTTTTTGTTTGTTGGAGTCTGCTCTGAGTCCCCTCAGGGAGATAGGGCAGAATATAGTCTTATTATTATTATTATTATTATTATAATAACTGGAACATAACATATATTACTTACTCTAAAAATACAGGGAATATCTTTTCGATTTGCATGGATGACATCAGAAGCCAAGACAGAACACACTGAGAATTCTTCATCCCTATTAAAAAGATTAAAACAATGTTTGCTGACAATAACGTTTTAAACAGTAATAATTTTAATTATAGAGGAAATTTAGCCCTATGCAACAGAAAGGCTTTTTTTATTTTCAGTTCAGCAGAGACACATAGAGCTGATGTACAGATATATAATTACTATTTCAGACAAATGTTCAATATTCAAAACCTATAATATATGTTTGAATAATTGGTTAAAAAGCAAGCAATGAAGCCCAAATCAAGAAAACAGCTCCTCTCCCCCAACACAGAAATATAAATCACACTCCAGCTGTAGAAACCCTGACTCATTATTAGTCGGGTCAATAAAATACTGCCTAATTTACAACCATGATAGTAAGGGCCACCTTTAAACTCTTAATGTCTTCAGTGTCGCAACCTAATCATGCTTTACTTTAGGCACTTGATTTGACCACAGGAAATGATGGTGTTCTTCTACTTATGTATGATAAAACTATGTAGTTACTAGAAAATGAAAACTAGTAAATGAGTCTAAGACAGATAAACTTCCATAGATATAACCCTTATTATGGTGTGTATTCAACATGGAAGTCCTTCCTGCGGGTATCATTAAAAATAGTAACACTTCATACCTCATATCAAGAACTTGACTCACTACCACAGAGGGTTGGGATGCTTTCCCTTCTGCTATATCGTAAAGAAAAAGCTTGAAATCACAGACAACGGCTAGTGCTCTCTGCCAGCCTTTCTTCACTCCAGCTGGCTTAGGGACCTGTAACACATTAATTGTCATTTAATTCTGTATGTTATTCATATGTTAAAAAGGCATTTGAAAGACTTTTAACTTATATTAATTGTTTGACCTTGGAAATGAAAAGCAAAGTCAAAATATAAGTTTGAAATAGGCACTGTATATATGCAGTTAAAATGCAGTAAAAATGGGAGCACTCTGAACTTCAAAACAGGACAATTTTCGTTATTCCTGATTCACATACTCAGAAAGAAAATATACCGTATATTCCGGCATATAAGACGACCCCCCAACTTTTCCAGTTAAAATATAGAGTTTGGTATATACTTGCCGTATAAGACCACCCCTCTTCCATCGCACACCAAATAAAAATAAAAAAATAAAAACATCAGATTTGATTTCAAATCCAAGACTATCAAAGCAGTATCCAGCTCTTCGGCTTAGAAATGGAGATGAGCGCCAACCCTCAGAGCCGGACACGACTGGACTTAACGTCAGGAGAAAACCTTTACCTCACCTGTAAACTCCTGTATGTTTATTATTTATTTAACAGTTGTGGGTCCATGGAGCGTAATAAAGTTCTATAAATTTTTACCTTACCTTACCTAGAGTGAGACCAGGGCCGGGTCCAATGTCCTTTCCCCAACAACAACAACAATAATGGAAATCTAGAATTGGAAGGGACTCCAATGGCCATCCAGTCTAACCCTAATTCTGCCAGACAGGAACACATGTCCAAGCCCTCCCGACAGATGGCCATCCTGTTCTACTTAATAATAGCAATAACAACAATAATAGCAATAACAACAAGCTCTAGCTTTCTGTTGTTGTTGTTGTTATTGTTAAGCAGAGTTGTATGGCCACCTGTTAGGAAGGCTTGCATTGTGTCTTCCTGCCTGGCAGGAATGGGGTTGGACTGAATGGTCATTGAGGTCCCTTCAGTCCAACCCCATTCCTGCCAGGCAGGAAGACACAATGCAAGCCTTCCTAACAGGTGGCCATACAACTCTGCTTAACAATAACAACAACAACAACAACAACAGAAAGCTAGAGTTGGGACTCCAATGGCCATCCATTCCAACCCACTCATTCCTGCCAGGCAGGAAGACACAATGCAAGCCTCCCCAACAGGTGGCCATCCAGTTCTAGTTACCATATATACTCGAATATAAGATGACCCGAATATAAGCTGAGGTACCTAATTTTACCACCAAAAACTGGGAAAATTTATTGACTCAAGTATAAGCCAGGGGAGGGAAATGCAGCAAGTAGTGGTAAGCTGAGGGGACAGAAGTTGTCATAAAGCCATCTTGTGCAGCTTCCAAAACCCAACACGTGAGAACATTTTGCACTGCAGCCAGATATTTCCAAGGTCATGCCAAAAGGGTTTGATGAATATACCCTTTTTGAGATAGATCTAAATCAGGCATGGGCAAACTGTAGCCCTCCAGGTGTTTTGGACTTCAACTCCCACAATTCCTAACAGTCAGTATTTAAGAACACAGAAATGCTGGACCAGTCTAACAACCACCATGTCAGACTCCACAGAGAAGCCATTGCAATCCATAAGAAGCATGTGGACAATTTCAACAGAAAGGAGGAAACCATGAAAATGAACAAAATCTGGCTACCAGTATTTAAAAAAGCTCTTCTAAAATCAGGACAGTAAATAAAAAACAACACTCAAAAGCAGGGGAAATCCAGACAATAAAAAATCAGGACCAACTAACACCTCCCAACAAAGGATTCCCCCAGGCAGGAAGCAGCCAGGCTTTGAAGCTGCAAGGCCATTCAATGCTAATCAAGGTAGCCAATGACAACATTCCCACTTGCCTCAAGCAGACAAGAGTTCTTTCTCCCACCCTGGACTTTCCACAGATATATAAACCCCACTTGCCATGTTTCCAACAGACCTCACAACCTCCAAGGATGCCTGGCATAGATCTGGGCAAAACATCAGGAGAGGACACTTCTGGAACATGGCTATACAGTCTGGAAAACTCACAGCAACCCAGCCAGTAGCTGTTAGGAATTGTGAGAGTTGAAATTCAAAACAATCTGATAGAAAACTGGGAGTTGTAGTTTGGTATGGTACTGGCTCTCTTAAACAGGGAAGGCTAAGGACCTTGTAAAACTACAACTCTTGTGACTCCATGGCACTGAATCTGTGGCAGTTTTTTTGGGGGGGATTCCCCTTTAAGAGTAGATGGCCCTTGCACTGGGACTTCCCCTTTAAGGCTGCCTCGTTCTTGCCTGCAGAAACAAAACAAAACGGGGGAAAGAGACCTTTTTCTTCCTCCCTCTGCAGGCTATTTAAAACTTTTAAAACTTAGGAGCGGCTGTTCTTTCAGAGGGAGCTGAGCACACAGAAAGGAAAGAAACCCCAAAGAGGGGAGAAAGAAGTTGTTTCCCCAGCAGGACTTTCTGGGAGGTGCCTTTGTTTGGACTCTCCTTGAGTAGCACTGTTTGAGGAAGGAGAGGAGAGGGAGAAAGAGGCCGGGAATGGAAGGCTTGGGGGCAGCCTCTTCTGCCCCTTTTTCCTTCAGGAGGAGGACGGGGAGGAGGAGGAGCAGCGGCTGCGCTGCTTGGGGATGGCGAGGGGGGAGGAGGAGGATCGGCAGGTCTGCCGGGAGTGCTGGCCAGCTGAGCTGCGATACCAGCAGGCTCCCTTTGGCCTCTGATGGCTGCTCGCGTCCCTCGCTCTCGGCATCCTCAAGTGGTGGAACTTATAGCCGGCACACAAGACGACCCCCCCACTTTTAAGATGACTTTCTTGGCTTAGAAAGTCGTCTAGTATGCCAGTTTTTACGGTAGTCAAAAGGCAAGAAAATTTATACCAAGCATATTACATTATTACTTCCTCCTCCAGTACTTACTCGGACATGTCCTTCATAAGCAGTCCCTATGCCTTTCTGTGGGTCAATCCCCAGAGGCCCCTTTGTCTGGTCAGGTGGGATTGGGCACACGGCTGGTGCCTTGTCCGCACAGGTCACATGGCAAGAAAAGCCACACACTGGGAGGAAAAACAGTTCACAACGTGAATGTGCATTGCCTTTAATAACAATGCAAGAGTTGGAATTACAAACCTCCCCACTGTCAATATATAATAACAGAAACTTGATTATGCTAATTAATTATGTTATGTATTGCTTTTTGTATGTATATTGTGGCAAATTGTAAGCCACTCTGAGTCCCCCTTGGGGTGAGAGAGAGCAGGATAGAAATATAGTAAGTAAATAAATTGACAAAAAACTATTTCACATTTGGCATGTGTCTCTTATACCAAATTATATCAACAACTGAAGCAGAGCTAGTCATGCCAGCCCTTAATTGCTGTAAGGGCAATAAGACAGGAGATTAATATTTGAAGATTGGGGGGGGGGGGGAGAGATAGATAGGGAAATACTAGGTGAAACAAGCAAGAAAATCTTTACAAGCTGGATCATGACTACTTCCATTAACTATGGTTAAAACAACTATGCCTATTTCTTAGTATTGTATGACAATTCAGTCAATTTGTGAAAGCAAACACATGTGAATATTTCTCTCAATATTTTTCTTTCACATTTGAAGTAAAACTAGTATCACATCACTTTCTGTTTACAACATCTTGGAAGCTAAACAGGGTTAGTACTTGGATGGATGCCAGGTGCTCTTGGCTATATTTCAGAGAAAGGAACTGGCAAAAACAATTCTGAGAATTCCTTCCCTAAGAAAGCCCTCTGAAATCCATGAGGTTGACTGAAGGCATATATACACAATCCTATGGTGCAAAACTCCTAAATCTTTTAATCGAATTATTAAATGCCTGCTGTTTCTGGGTACAAAAAACATTTCAAATGAACATAAGAAGACCCAATGTTTATTTGCAATATAACAAAATTAGTTTATGGAACTGCTTATAACTGATAAGTCTTACCTTCACAGATACAGCCCTGTCTGATTAAGCCAACCATCAAAGATGTGCACTGATTGCATTTTGTAGGGGTATTAAAGGATTTCACTACAAACTGATGGGCCTTAGGCTGTGAAATAAACAGAAATTGATATTAGGTACCAAGTGTTGGGCTTGCCAAAACATTTTTAAATAAAATGTTTAAATGGACATCAGATTGAAAGATGATGCTGAGCCTAGGATTTTTAAACAATTCAAACTCAAAGCAATTCTCAAGTCTTAAAATAGCTTGGCCATTATTGATTACTGTTCATAGAACAAAATCAGCATTGTAAAGAAAGCTGACCCATGTCAGCTCTCACCTTGAAGGAGACACTTTCAAAGTTGAAAATATAGGTTTTATAATACTTTCAAACTTCTATAGCTAAGTAAACAATAGTACGCATTATTTTTATTTTTATATGATTAGATGAGCATGTTAATTTTTCATTGTGGGCCAGATTTTGGTTTTGGAAATATAAAAGATAAGAAATTTCTAAAACCTCCAATACATTACTGCACAGAAATCAAAGTGTGACGTTTGTTTCCTGTAATTCCAATTCTCATTTTAGTTGAAAGTGACAGAGATTTTCTCAATACAGTAAATATCCTATTGACCGCAATCTTCATTATAATGCAAATATTTTAAGGTGGTTTGGCCCTGAATGGGTGATTTACATCCTTTTAATATAATGGTAAGTAATAGTGCTTGTGTGGCTTATTTTTTGTGCTTCTTCCATGACAAGTTTACTATGACTTTAGACAAAGCTGACTCAAATAACTTGCAAAGTAGGGAATGGTTGAGAATGTGATTCTAACAAGCAAAGAAATAAGTGGCTGAGGAATGTAGTATTCCTACCAACTCTCAATGTGCATCTTCTCTTTCTGGAAATTTTTCCTCTTGAGTTAAATCCTCATACCCAAAATGTGCTAAACTATGGAGATAAATATTCAGTGAAACTGACTGGGGGGATCTAAAGTGCACCTCGACTGTGTGTCTCTTCCTCAGGTATCTCCCATTCCAAAACACACTAACAGCTGCAATTACATTTAGGGAAGAATTTGGTTGCAATTCTAATATAGCTTCTATCCTGAATTTTTTACTTGGTACCTTTGGCACAGAGAGTCCTGAACCAATATATGGTGATCTCATGGTTGGTGTATGAACTGGTCGCAAAGGGTGATCTGAAACCTGAACACACATACGTTGAACATTATTTTACGTATAAAAAGCACACACATCTGCAAAATGGGTCAGAGGAATTAAAAAAGTAAATAAATGAAAGAATCAATTCCTCTGAGTAACATGAATGACATTTTCTATCTCGCAAAATGTTCAAGCACATTAAAGGTATTTTTAACAAACACTAACATAGATGCATTCATTCACTGTATTGACAAATATATTTCATTTAACTATATATTTCACTGGATCAATTTTAATGCTTAATGACAGACAGGAACAATTTATATTTAGTAAAGGCAATTCACAAGCATAAAAATGATTCCATATGGTAGACGTGGGAAAGGTACAGTTTGCAGATTTCCCAAGAACTGTTTATGTAGTTCACAAGAACCTTTTCCCACACATTACCAAAAAACAAAAACAAATTAACAAACAAAACTGAAATAAAATGTTCCCTTCATCCTAGGAGGCATGGGAAGAATTTTACCATGTAGTTGGCCTGACTATTTTGGCCAAGACAACCGCCTTTTCAAAATGAAAGATGACTTCCAATCACTTTTAATGAAAAAATGCTTTTACTGAAACAGCTATGACTGCCACAAACTCAGTGAAATTGCTCCGTGCCCTGTAAAGTATTTTGGGCTTTGGTGAGGGAGGTATGAGGCTTCATGTAATTACTGAAACTTGTCTTATATGTCATGTTTGTCCCCCAAATAACCATTATGGTTTAGGTTTGCCAGTAGGCTTGAGCATGGATTAGGTTCAGCCGGTTCCTTTCGGCCAATCCAGCTTGTTCGGATGGTCGTAACAGCAAGGGCTCAGCCGCTTTGTTTTTTGTTTGGCCAAAATGGGTCACGTAGCAACCATACAATATGGATGGGTTCCTTAGTAAACAGGTTAAACACCAATAATCCACTTATAAAGATAACATAATGAATAAGTCCAACAGATAGAATGCATTTAGTAATACTTACAAAGTTCAGTCTTTTACATATGTTCTCATAAGAGATACTTAAGTTTTTTGTAATGGGATCTAGGTGAAAGGAACAAATTGTGGCTATTAACATTTGAAAATTACATATATCAAAATAAATATTTTCCCAATATATTTCACCAATATTACATACATCAATACATTTTACAATTGAACATAATATGATAGAATGCATTTAGAAATACTCACAAAGTTCAGTCTTTTACATATGTTCTCATAAGAGATACTTAAGTTTTATGCAATGGGATCTAGGTAAAAGGAACAAATTGTGGCTATTAACATTTAAAAAAATATACATATATCTAAATAAATGTTTTCCCAATATATTTCACCAATTAGGTGTATACTCACAAGATACTCTGCTTCTGAGTTTGATTCTAATTGCGAGTATGGACAGGCTCTGGGGGTTTCCTCTATTTAAAGAGGAAAATGAACATCAGATGTAGAGGAGGCAGAGAAGTTGATTTAAGGTTCATTTAAAGTTACAGGTGTGGAAAATGTCAACACTAGATGGCGTTGTGAGTAATGTACTTCCCAGGGATGTGTAGTATACAAGGGATAATGCAAAAAACCTCAAAGTTATATATAGCAACTGTATGAATTATGTTCATTGAGACCATATGGGTGTTCCGTCCGTAATCTGAAGATCCAATATGTTTCCCTTTGTAGGAGTTTAGTGTTAAAGTCCATGTGTTTGGATTGTGTGACTACTTCTAATATGTGGTATTTAAAAGATTCAGGGTTGTGCCGTAGATCATCAAAATGTTTATACAGTATGGAATCTCTGGAATTAGTTCTAATTTTGCTCCGGTGTTCTATAATCCTAGACTTCACTTCTCGACGAGTTTGGCCCACGTACATCAGTTTGCATTCACAAATAATCCCGTAAATAACCCCCTTGGTTATGCATGTGGCAAAATGGGAGAATTTAATTGTAAATGGTGGGTGTTGGTGTGTAAAGATTTTAGTCTCCACCAATTGGTTACACACTGAGCAATGATGGCACCGATAATTGCCAATTAGATTTGATTTCATGGTCCGAACATTATGTGTTAAATCTGAATGTACCAAAAAATCCCCAATGCTCTTGGTTCTTTTATATGCTATTAGTGGGGGTCTTTCACAGCCCGGGATGTCCCTTATTAAGTTCCAGTATTTTTTAATTGTTCTGATGGCTAAATTGGACATGTTAGTGAGAGTAAGTGGCCATATTAATCTTTCTACTCTAGGTCTAGTCTTGTTCTCTAGTAATTTAGACCTGGGAATGTTGGCTACTTTTAGATAAGATGATTGTATTATATGTTCAGGATATCCCCGGTTTCTAAACTGTCGTTTCGTTACCTCAATCTCGTGAGTGAAATCCTGTTGGGTCGAGGAATTACGTTTAATCCTGAGCATCTGTGAGAACGGTAGATTATTTTTTAATGCCCAATGATGGTAGCTATTGTAGTGTAACAGGGAGTTTCTGTCCGTGGTTTTACGGTGGTTTCTCACCCTCAATCGGTCGTTTTCTTTTATAATCATAACATCCAGGAAAACCAAGGATGTGGCACTGATGTTCCCTGTAAATTTGATATTGTGGTGTACTGTATTGATCCAGGATAATAATGTTTCTGCCTCATGATGTGAGTTTATAATGATGAAAATGTCATCAATAAATCTGCAATATTTGATTATGCTACCCGCTACAGGGTTATATGCACGATTCAAAATTATATTGTTTTCCAAATTATCCATAAATAAATTTGCTATTGAAGGTGCAACAGGGCTGCCCATGGCCACTCCTTGTATTTGAAAATAATATTTTTGGTCGAATTTAAAGAAATTTTTTTCGAGAATGATATCAAGGAGGTCCAACAAAAAGAAAGTGGGAGGGTGACAGTTTGATCTCCTGTTCAGAGTAGACTCACATATAGTGCGTGCCTCTTCTATTGGAATGCTAGTGTACAGTGAAGTTACATCTATAGACATCAGAACAGCATCTGTTGGAATCACCAAGGGTTCAATGATATTAATAAAATGTTTAGTGTCCCTAACATAAGATGAAGTCTGTTTTACAAAGGGTTGTAAATGGTGGTCCACAAATTTTGCTAGTGGTTCTAGAATGGAGCCTGATCCTGATATGATAGGACGGCCCGGAACTGGCCTGATGTTCTTATGTATTTTTGGCAGAATATACAGGACAGGGGTTCTGGGCCATGGAGTGTGTAGATACTTATATACATCCTCTGATATATATCCAAGTGACAGTCCTTCCATTGTCACTGTTTTTATAATAGATTGGATGTGATGTGTGGGATCCCGTTCTATACTAAGATAGTGTTCTCTTATTGATAATTGTCTGTGGATCTCATTCATATAATCAGTATGGTTCATTAACACTATGGCTCCACCCTTGTCAGCCGGCTTCCAAATGAGGTTTTTGTCATTGGCTAAACTACGAAGCGTGTTCCACTCACTGTTAGAAAAGTTTGTACTGTGTGTCCCTTTGTTTTTTGTGAATGTGTGACATAGTTCCTCACATACTGTTTTTTCAAAAACCCTAAGTCCTATATGGTCTGTGCTAGGAAAAAAGTTACTACGAGGTTTGAAGGTAGAAGTAGTGATGTTTTTCGTGGTCCCAAAATGCTGTCTTAATCTGATGGTACGGAATAGCCTAGCTAATTCTATACGCATCTTAAATGGATTATATTTGGGTTTGGGAACAAATGTTAGCCCTTTATTAATAACGTGCTTTTCCTGAGGGGTTAAAACTCTGTTGGATAGATTTACTATTAAGTTTTCCGTTTCACATTTGGAGCCTCTTGAAAAAAACGATTAGGTTTGTTTCTGATACGACCCGTACGTCTAGGTGTGTGGGTGTTGTCCCTCCTGTATGAGGCCACACTATGTCCTGAACTATCTGACATAGAGCCTGTGTCTTCTTCAGAAGTGAATTCACTGAATCTTACTTGTTTTCTAGAGTGGTAGTGTTTGGAGTATAGCC